GGCGTAGCGGTGCAGCGGTGCGTGACAAAGGTTTTCACTGGCTCATGTGCGATTCTTTGAAGCGACACATATTTATAGAATAACCCACGGGGTACGAGTGATTACGGAAAATATGTCACGAGTGAAATTAATGTTTTAAATTCCGAGCTTTATACTGTTTTTCCCCATTATCTGTTAATCCTACAAAAGAATAACAACATTGTATCCACTGTGGAATGTTTGAAACGTTACATTTGATCTTGATATTATGAATAATAAAAATCAACAATTAGCAATCTGTAACTAGCATCCTGTTGGGTATACCATGCATGATCAATGACTTCCTACTTGTCCTGCAGCTGGTCAAGAGCTTATCCCCATCGTGAACTCTAAATAACTCAAATTTAGTAATGAGGTGAGCCTCGCTGAAATCTTTTCGGATGCAAGGATGCTTGCAACGCACACATAACGATATGCGACACAAAAATACACAAATGAGGTGAGCCTCGCTGAAATCTTTTCGGATGCAAGGATGCTTGCAACATACACAGAACAATAGGCGACACAAACATACACAATAGATACGATTTTCCTTCACTTCTCAAATTTACATAATTCACAGTCCAACTGAAAGTGAAACGTTAACGGCATTGTGATAAGCCTTTCCTACTTTCTGGTTGGTGAGAAGATGTCTCTTCTCCCTCTCAGGGGCATGGGCTTGGTTTCGAAACTTCTTCTTTTTGGATGGCATCAAACTAACTGGATTATGATCGCAGTATTAACCTGCTCAACACGCAGTACCTGAATGAATTTGTACAGATTTAGATGCCATCCTCCGAAAAGATTCGACGGCGTCGACCTTCTGCTCAGTGACATATTATTGTGCTTCGTGAAGTCATCTTTGGTGGTTGGACATCCTCTTTTGGCGTCCAGGTCTTAATCATGAACTTGAACTGGACAAAAACCAAGTGCAGACCGCACTAGAATTGAGAATAAACTGTATATCAACCTGCGTATTCGACACAGTGGAATACTGTTTCTTTTCTTCACTTCCTTTGTAGCCCAAATCGTACAAAATGATTAATATGTTCACCCACTCATTGATGTATATTTTGAAATATTTCACTTAGAACAGTGTATGTGAATATAATTCACTAATTAGTTGTCCTGTTATATTTTGTGAGATTTATATCAATTAGTTGTCATAATTATGTGAAATGCCTTACCAATCACCACGCTCGGGTGAGTTTGTACCTACAACAAAGGGTGCTGGACAAGAAAGAAGATTTCAATAAAATACTATCCAGATTGGGCGCCGGCCCTATAGTCGAAATTGCACAACACCGGGGAGCCCGTTTTAACCCCAGTAAGGAGAATCCCCTCAGTGGCGGAACTTTTCGTTTTCGATTTCGCATGTCGTTTTTTTCCATTTTTCAAAACTAATTCTGGTCACCCTGTTGTGATTAAGTGTGCCCTAAAGTATTAAAATCTGCAAAGTTGCAATGTTGACTTCACTTGCCCTTTAAAACGTGCTGTGACTGTATACTCATTGTCCCCAGACTAAATAGTCTGCCTATCTGATAACCTAAATTTAAGATGCATTTAAGTCTAAAAGCTAATAATAAACCAGTTACACATACTAGTTTGTTGTTTCTCACATGAAACTATTTAACGTCATGTTTGGACCAAGAGCCGTGGGGTACATACGTCAGTTGGATCGCTTGCAGTGTTCCGTTGATTGAGAATTCCCTGGTATATTTACTGCGACATCTTGATCCAGAAACACTACTGTCAACTCGTATCCATGTAATAACCATATATCAGTGGCAAAACAAGATCGATAATAGTTACATGAAAAGCAAAGCGTTTGAAATCCACATACCATATGTACGTCCGTTCTCTCTGAACTGTTTCTGCCCCCGTTGCAGTGATGACTGTCACGGCATACAAGTTAATTGGTGCGATAAACGCTCGTCAGGTTCTCTCACCATGGCCACAATACATGTGTATAATAATAAACGTCATTTATTTGTGAGTGTTATGTGGGTGGCATGTCCTGGATGAGTAAGGGTTTGTACACAACAGTACATGTAATTTCAGCGAGGCTCAACTCATTGCTAAATTTGAAAGGGATATGGAGTTATTTAGTGTTTACGACCGTTCTTGTGATTTAATACTGTGTCAGAGAATATATGCTATAGGGGATGCTATTTGATTAGAATTTGTATTTTACATTCCGCACTCTACATTACAAAGATGGCTTGTATCCAAATAGCATCAGTTTTTAACGTTGTGATATTGTTGTTAACCCCCCAAAATTTAAGCACTAATTATTGATGATGATGATGATGATGATGATTGTTTGTTCCTTTCATTGTGGTTTGATTAACTCCTATAATTATTCGAGTCTGGACCAGTCAATCCACAGATTGATATCAAAAGCATTGATCTACCCAATTGGGATACAGGACATGCATCAACCAAGTCAGCCAGCCTGTCCACCAATTCCTGTTTGTCGCCTCTAGATGCAAGCATGGGTTGCTGAAGAGGTATTCTAACCCAGATAGATGATGATGATGAAAATGTAGTAGTCTCACCTACAAACTTGCAATCAGTGACCAAACTAGTGCCTGTTCCACAATCGTAGTGCTATGGTGATCGTAACTCCCATAATGTAACATAGACTTAGACCACGTGGGCTTTGTGGAAAGGGGCCATGACCACCTGATACATTTTGTAGCCTCTCAGGACCACCACCTCCACGTCTTCAGTGACTAAATGTTACACCTCTTTCAGTAATATTCCAGCCACACCCCAGTGGCCTAAAAAGGATCGAGTCTTGATCAGTCAACCAGTGACTGAAATCATGAGCAACTATACATGCCATTTTGGCATGGTGACACACAATTCAGCAAGTCTGACCACCTGACCTTCTTTGATGGGCTCTTTTGACAAACATAGGACCTTGGGATCTATTCGAGATCCCTGTAATCAGTAAGACACTGCAACCCAACTGAGCTAATGAGCCAACAGGCAGGGGTTGTACAGGAACTGTATCACACCTATCAAAGCTAGTTATGTGCACTACAAAAAGCTTTTAAACTATTGTAAAAGTCCAAACGTACTGCACCACAAAGAAAACGTCGCTTCATGAAACTTTTCTATGGAAATATCAATGCATTTATTTACATAAGTTCACATCCAAATTTAATGTTACGTCCAAAATGTGCCACAAATAAGGATATATTGTAAAAGTCCAAACGTACTGCACCACAAAGAAAACGTCGCTTCATGAAACTTTTCTATGGAAATATCAATGCATTTATTTACATAAGTTCACATCCAAATTTAATGATACGTCCAAAATGTGCCACAAATAAGGATATATTGTAAAAGTCCAAACGTATTGCACCACAAAGAAAACGTCGCTTCATGAAACTTTTCTATGGAAATATCAATGCATTTATTTACATAAGTTCACATCCAAATTTAATGTTACGTCCAAAATGTGCCACAAATAAGGATATATTGTAAAAGTCCAAACGTACTGCACCACAAAGAAAACGTCGCTTCATGAAACTTTTCTATGGAAATATCAATGCATTTATTTACATAAGTTCACATCCAAATTTAATGTTATGTCCAAAATGTGCCACAAATAAGGATATACGGGTCGCCAAAACGCAGCTTTACAAACAACCACGGTACAAAGTCCTGAATGCTTTCCATGAAAATCAAAACACACTTTCGTTTCCTTGTGCCTTTCTGATAGACGGCACCCCAATACGTGGCTCCAACATTCTGGTATTGATACTAGCGCCACGCCAAGCCATGCCAAGACCAATGAAGGATCAGAGAAACCAGGCTTTTAAAAGACTGCATGCTGGCCAGTCTGCACGAATGGTTTCTAGTGTTATTAATGTCCAGGTGAGAACCATCTACAGATTACAGCTGTGATTCCAGTTCACCCACAGCATGCAGAGTGTAGCAGTTTGTGCACCTGACTTAAAAAAGTTTTAAGATGAATAGAACAATATTTTCAGAGATGTAACAATTTTCCAGGGATGGCTGCAAAGACAACAACTGCACAAAATTGTAGGCAATAAATAAATTTTGAAGATATTCAAATTTGTAAAACTGTTGTACCTCACTTCATGACGCTCTTCAAATTATTTCAAAATCTAAGGGTTAACAATTTACGTCTCAATGTTAATCAGAAGAAAACTTTTAATATAGAACAGATATCCAAGACATTACAATAGGAAATGCTGAGCAGTGTCAAAAAAGGAATTTATAATTTCAAGGTTCCTTGTACATTATCTCAATATAACAGATGGCAGATCTGAAAAAAAGGTGAAATGTGAATTTTTTTACAAAACCCAGTGGTATTTCACATGTAGGCGTATTGGTGGTGAGGAGAAATGGGGCCTAACATTGCAATCAATATCACATCACTTATATAGCGATGTGCATGTACGTGTAGCTACGTGAGCAATACCGCTAGCCCACTGAGATACCTGGTCCCAGCTTGACATGGATACTTCACCCAGACACAGGCAAGTCATTGTTTCATCCTTCAGTGCCGAAGTTTAACAGGGTAACAACAAGCACCATATTTGAATGCCTTTTGGTATGATGAATGGATCAAACCAGCCTTCAGCTCTCCGAGTGACTGGTGAGTGAGTGAGTTGGGTTTTAACGCCACTTTTAACAATATTCCAGTTATATTGCGGCCTGTCAGCTTTATTTCGGAGGAAAGCCCGAAGTGATGCAGGTCTCAGACGTTTACCACTTCAGTGAAACCCCCGAGCACGGGTATGGTGCTGACAAACCTGGAAACATAATCGGGGGGAACCAGGTTTTGAACCCACAATCATAGGTTTCTGCCGTGCCCAAGGGACGCAACTCTGCACAGCGGCTGGGCCACCCTGCCCCCTTCCGAGTGACTGGTGTCCTTGGGGAGCCTTGATGCTCCCTCACATCACTAAAATGAACACAATTCTTTGTACATTTACAACAACCATGCATAATCCATTCACAGATGAATAAAGCATGATAGTATCAATTTATTTTCCTAACAAGAAATTTAGAAACAAACTTCTGTTGCATCAAGTGGTCATTATTTCAACGTTATGTCAATAACCTTCATCACAAAACATGACATTTATCAATGTAATCACATTACACTTGATATCGCACGCTATCTTCATATATATTTTCAAAGATGTATAGGTGTGACCCCACCAGTATTTCCCTGAAGAATTACCTCCATATACAGATCAACTATAGTTGACGAAAATAACAGAAGTGAACAATCACAGGCATCAGATAGAAGGATGAGAAAAATCACGGAAAAGCTGAGAACTTATAAAGCTTTAAAACCTCCGATATTTTTCACCAGAAATTATCATATTGAATTGGGGAAAAAATAATTCCCGACTTTAGATGGAAATATCACATGCTTGCAATCAGTCAAAATGGTGGAAGTTGATAAATAGAGGACTGAAACCATTAAACTAAAGTCTCCAGTTGTTGTTCTCACTGTTCAGCAGAATTTAATTGAGGAGAATCAATTTCATTTGAAATATCAAGAAAATATGTCAGAGATTTCCCCAGCAATCACGTGAGGGCGCCTTCTATGCAGAACAGCTGGTAAATCTGTTTACTTTGAGCAGATCCAAGATTCCTGTAAGGACAACAAGTAACATTGAACATTTCTGTTCTCTTATACAAACATACTGTTCATTGATAGAATTACCTTAAAATTAGATTTAGTTACCAAAATACTTTACAAGACAAACGGTTTTACTTTTGAGAACTGGTTTCCAGTTTATGGCCAGCACAAAGACAACAAGACAAGTGTCAAACTCCATACACGACCCAACCCAACCCAACCCAACCCAAATCTACATACAAAACTAAGTAAAACAAAAAGACAAAACACACAAAAAAACTAAGTAAAACAATAATTAACACCCCCAGCACAAGAACAAGTTGTATTCACAGAAACATTTAACCTGACACACGTATGTATTATCAGTTGTGTCTGCAAGCTTTGCTAGTACCTCATTCCCTTGCCAGCTTTAATATTTGCCAGTATCCCTTCTTTCTCTCTCTGGGAGATGCATCGGTCATATGCTCGGAAGATACTGCAATGCAAAACAAATTAAAATGATTTTCGTCAAAAGGAGTGAGAGTGAGTGAGTGAGTGAGTGAGTGAGTGAGTGAGTGAGTGAGTGAGTGAGTGAGTGAGTGAGTGAGTGAGTGAGTGAGTGAGTGAGCGAGTTTGGTTTTACACCGCTTTTAGCAATATTCCAGCAATATAACAGTGGGGGGTACTAGAAATGGCCTTTAAACATTGTACTCATGTGAGGGAATCAAATCCGGGCCTTTGGCGTGACGAGCAAACTCTTCAACCCCTATGCTCCCACCCCACACTGAACCAAAAGAAACGATTAATATATAAGGCGTGCTTGTGTGCGTGGGTGGGTATGTGAGTGAGTTCAAGTTTAATGTCTCATTGGCAATATTTCGGCCATATAGTGACAAGACCAAGTTAATATTTCCACAAGTCATGAGTTACATGTATATTTAAAAACAAATTTTATCAAACGCGTATGTGTGTCTGTCTGCTGAGATACCATGCTGCAGTTTAACATGAATACCCCACTCAGACACTGTATACTGACTCCTAGCCGACCAGTCCTTGTTTGCCAAGTGCCAGACAGGGTAACAACAAGTACCATCTTTTAACGTCTTTTGGTATGACGTGGCCGGGGATCGAACCCCGGACCTTCCTCTTTCCGGGCGGATGCTCTACCACTAGACCACAGAGGCTGTCCTCTATGTCGGGAGTGTCGTGAACTCCCAATTAAATCGTATGGCCAAGGCCCATCAGGCTTACTAATGACAGGGAGGCCCAGTCAGGTAAGGTGTTGCAATACACTGTGCAGAGTTCTGTCCCTTAGGCATGCATTGATCCTTTCATCAGCATGACCCATCTTCCTGAGGCAAGGGTGTAAACAGACTATAAAAAGTCCAGTTTCCACCCTTGCCAAACTAGGCTGGAATTTCTGGGCTTGATTGTGGCGCTACTAGTGGCTATTACGAGTCATGTCCCTTCTTTGTCCCTCCTATTGACCAATCAGATTCTATCTCTCATATCACTTGCATTGCTTCAAACAAAATGGTGGCTCCAGTAAGATGACCTGATCAATAATCAAGTTCTATATTGTAACAAAACGGCTCTTACCCTGCCAAGTGCATCAGTGAAAACATTCGGAATATAACGCCCATTTGACGGTACACATGCTTTGGAAATCCTGCAGTCGACTGAAAACGGCAATCTTGAATCCATGTTGTTTATGAACGGATGTCTACTTTGTTATGCGACTATGCATATACTCGTTCGTCCAGCCAAAATGTAACTCCAGAATTCCAGCCTAGTTCTGCAAGGGTGGAAACTGGACTTATATAGTCAGTTAATGTCTCTGCCTCGGAAAGATGACATGAGGTAAAGTATCTGTCATACATGAGAACTTCAATCAGTGGCTACCTCCATCAGTAGAGTTGTCAACTCACCTTGTTGGGGTAGGGTATCTGTCCTGCATTGTTACCACTGTCAACTCACCTTGTTGGGGTAGGGTATCTGTCCTGCATGGCTACCACTATCAACTCACCTTGTAGGAGTAGGGTATCTGTCCTGCATGGATACCTCTATCAACTCACCTTGTTGGGGTAGGGTATCTGTCCTGATGGATACCACTATCAACTCACCTTGTTGGGGTAGGGTATCTGTCCTGCATGGATACCACTGTCAACTCACCTTGTTGGGGAAGGGTATCTGTCCTGCATGGCTACCACTATCAACTCACCTTGTTGGGGAAGGGTATCTGTCCTGCATGGATACCACTATCAACTCACCTTGTTGGGGAAGGGTATCTGTCCTGCATGGCTACCACTGTCAACTCACCTTGTTGGGGTAGGGTATCTGTCCTGCATGGCTACCACTATCAACTCACCTTGTTGGGGAAGGGTATCTGTCCTGCATGGATACCACTATCAACTCACCTTGTTGGGGAAGGGTATCTGTCCTGCATGGCTACCACTGTCAACTCACCTTGTTGGGGTAGGGTATCTGTCCTGCATGGATACCACTATCAACTCACCTTGTTGGGGAAGGGTATCTGTCCTGCATGGCTACCACTATCAACTCACCTTGTTGGGGTAGGGTATCTGTCCTGCATGGCTACCACTATCAACTCACCTTGTAGGAGTAGGGTATCTGTCCTGCATGGATACCTCTATCAACTCACCTTGTTGGGGAAGGGTATCTGTCCTGCATGGATACCACTATCAACTCACCTTGTTTGGGAAGGGTATCTGTCCTGCATGGATACCTCTATCAACTCACCTTGTTGGGGTAGGGTATCTGGCCTGCATGGCTACCACTATCAACTCACCTTGTAGGAGTAGGGTATCTGTCCTGCATGGATACCTCTATCAACTCACCTTGTTGGGTAGGGTATCTGTCCTGCATGGCTACCACTATCAACTCACCTTGTTGGGGTAGGGTATCTGTCCTGATGGCTACCACTATCAACTCACCTTGTTGGGGTAGGGTATCTGTCGGTGATGGCCTTGGCCTTGTCTGCTGACATCCCATGTAACTGAATCAGCTGTTTACCGAACAACTCCCGTACAGTTAGATCCTGAAATGCAGATTATTTTTCACAAATTGTTTCAGTCATTTGAATGATTCATTGTTCATGATTTCTCATATAACATTACATCGTTATTAATTGAAATCATGCCTTCTCATGGGCTGATATTTAATACATTTCTAAGCAATTAATTTGTTAAGTTGAAAAATTAAAGAGTGTGCAGTGATTGAGTAATTCTATATTTTACCTTCAGCAACATGGAAGCCTAAAGTGATGCAGATCTAAAACATGTTCTTCATTGGTGAAATCTATGAGCATGGTGCTGACACGCCAAGGAAACAAAATCCAAGCAAATATTGGATTTGAACCCCAAATCATTGGATTCTGTCACGTCTAAGGGACAGAACTCTGTCCAGCTAGTTGTGCCGTAACAAAATAATTTCGGGATCACCTGCGGCAGTTTTATACTGAAATAACTATAGGAACCAACATGTTCTGACATGGGGTAGCCACAAGGTTTCTTCATGACAAATGTGAGTGCTAAAACATAGAACTTGGTTGCACCGACAACAATGCTCCTCAATGAAGGTGGTAGTTTGTTTGTTTGTTGTTTATCCCCCCACTCAGCAATATGACGGCAGTCTGTAAATAATCAAGTTTGGACCAGACAATCAGGTGATTGATATCATGAGCATCGATCCTCGCAATTGGGATATGATGACATGCATCAACCAAGTCAGCGAGCCTGATTACCCGATCCTGTCGGTCGCCTTTTATGACAAGCACAGTCACCTTTTACGGCAAGCATGGGTTGCTGAAGACCTATTTTACCCCGGATCTTCACAGGTGGTCAGTGAGTTGGTAGGTCACCTCCTAGTCTTGGCAAATTTTACACAGGTCGGGATAAAGCTGGTACTGACCTTGCTCTTCACGGAGGCGTAATTGAAATGCTGGAACGTTGTGAGAAGCTTCTCGGATTCTTCAATGTGGAAACTGCCATCCAGTTCTCGCAACATCTCCGGTGTACATGCCTGGAGGGACTTGGTCTGGAGACATCAAGGGATGATAATGAGAATCGTACATCTGTAAATACTGGCTTAGTGCCACTCTGAACAGTATTCCTGAACAGTATTTGGGAGGAAAGCCCCAAGTGATGCAGGTTGCAGATGTTTACCCCTTTGGTGAGACTGAAAAGCAGAGGTGAGAAACCTAGACAATCGGGGCAAATCAGGAATTTGTCACTGGTCTCTGAGCCGTCCAGTCCTTGTTTTAGCACCTAAATGCCGAACGCCAGGCAGAAGAAAGTGATTATAACAGTCACACAGAATGACTTACACTGATGATACATGCCAGATTATATTGGTCCATTCGTCACCACCTCGTGTTATTCCGGGACAAGTCGTATAGCGACTCGTGCCCCTATCGTGACCAATTTTGCAACTGGGTTTTATCTCAGCGCAAACGGGCACAGCTAAAAGAATTGTCAACTCATTGCGTAATGATTCACGTATGTTACCCCATATGTCATAAGTACATGTATTCCAAATGCTATTTAAAACACATCGGGACTTACAATATTATACAGTATGATTGAACACATATAACTGTATCTCAGATATATTTTTAGGTGCAAGACATATGCAAAATCAAAAATTATTCATGAGGGATTCTTTGACTGAAGTACTTGAAGTCATACACACATTCTGATTGGTTTGTCATATTTTCGCAGTGATTAACACTGATCATATATACCCTATAGAAGCTCTGCAGATACCTGGTCATGACAGTGAGGTATTTAGTAATCCATACCCTATAGAAGCTCTGCAGATACCTGGTCATGACAGCAAGGTATTAAGTAAACACTGATGTTACATACCCTATAGAAGCTCTGCAGATACCTGGTCATGACAGTGAGGTATTAAGTAAACACTGATGTTACATACCCTATAGAAGCTCTGCAGATACCTGGTCATGACAGTGAGGTATTTAGTAAACACTGATGTTACATACCCTATAGAAGCTCTGCAGATACCTGGTCATGACAGTGAGGTATTAAGTAAACACTGATGTTACATACCCTATAGAAGCTCTGCAGATACCTGGTCATGACAGTGAGGTATTTAGTAATCCATACCCTATAGAAGCTCTGCAGATACCTGGTCATGACAGTGAGGTATTAAGTAAACACTGATGTTACATACCCTATAGAAGCTCTGCAGATACCTGGTCATGACAGTGAGGTATTTAGTAAACACTGATCATACATACCCTATAGAAGCTCTGCAGATACCTGGTCATGACAGTGAGGTATTAAGTAAACACTGATGTTACATACCCTATAGAAGCTCTGCAGATACCTGGTCATGACAGTGAGGTATTTAGTTAACACTGATGTTACATACCCTATAGAAGCTCTGCAGATACCTGGTCATGACAGTGAGGTATTAAGTAAACACTGATGTTACATACCCTATAGAAGCTCTGCAGATACCTGGTCATGACAGTGAGGTATTTAGTAAACACTGATGTTACATACCCTATAGAAGCTCTGAAGATACCTGGTCATGACAATGAGGTATTTAGTAATCCATACCCTATAGAAGCTCTGCAGATACCTGGTCATGACAGAGAGGTATTTAGTAAACACTGATGTTACATACCCTATAGAAGCTCTGCAGATACGTGGTCATGACAGTGAGGTATTTAGTTAACACTGATGTTACATACCCTATAGAAGCTCTGCAGATACCTGGTCATGACAGTGAGGTACGCCACAGTCTCCTTCACACCACTGGTCCTCTTCATCTTGAAGCCATCGATAACCTGCCAACACAACCATCGTCAGACTTGTGGCAGGATACTTAACTTCCAACAATGACATAATCAATGTGACATATGAGTGAGTGAGTGAATATGGTTTGACCAGAGCGTCAAAAACACGTCTTGGTTGCCTGCAGTGTCCCAGGGTAGTATTGGGTAAGTGAGTTGGGTTTAATGACACTTTTAACAGCATTCCAGTTATATCGTGTCATGTCAGCTTAATGTGGGAGGAAAGCCCGAAATGATGCAGGTCTCGTTTACCACTTCGGTGAAACCCCAAGCAGGGGTATGGTGCTGACAAACCTAGAAACATAATCGGGCGATCCGGTATTCGAACCCACAATCATAGGTTTCTGGCGTGCCCAAGGGACGCACTCTGCACAGTGAATCGCATAAAACATCTGAGAGCATGCTGCCAAAAACTGGGAAACGGAGGCACTAAAACACACACAACACACCTTCCACACTAGGCATGCGCAGAACAAGAGGGAAGTTGTCACGAAGATCAACAAACAGCGAGTAATTTTACAACTTACAGCACTAATATAATACTAGTCATCAAGAATATTCTATATTAGTGCTGTAATATGTATATTTACTTGCTGTTTGTTGATCCTCGTGACATGGCAATCGACTTTCTTCTGTTCTGTGCTTGCCTTGTTTGGAAGAATGCGATCTGTGTGTTTTTGTGCTGCCGCTTCCATGTGTTTTTGGTTACGTTCTCATGTTTTCTGTTGCTGATTCCATGTGTATTGTAGACATATGACAATTTTTGTGGTTTCAGTCTGTCAGTTTTCATTAGGAGGCCTGGTAGCATCCCTCTCAGGTACAGCCAAGCTGGTCTAACCTGATTGTCACTTAAAAGTTATGACTGTGTTGTGACAAGTGCTAAGTGGAGGTTACCTAGGAACAATACTGAGCCCTGTTCCACAAAGCGATCTTAGTGCTACGATTATCAAAAGTCAGTGTTAAACAATGGAAGTTTCGATCGTCTTTGGGGGAAGAATGCTTTGTTGAATGGAGTCCAACTTTGGAAGTATGAGTGAATTTGTGAGTTGTTCTTACACCACTTCCATCAATATTCCAGTAACATCACGACAGGGACACCAGAAATGAGCTTCACACATTGTACCCTTGTTGGGAATCGAACCTTGGCATCAACATAACCAGTGAATGCTTTAACGAAACCTTAAAAGCCGGCATGTATCTCTAGACATGTCTCCGACCATCTGTGTCTCCTTGCTCACCTGCGTGTTGACGATGGCCTGCTTTATCCTGTCTTCAGCGATGCTGAAGTGCTGCAGTGATCCGTAGTCTTCAATCAGATAGATGGCGTTGGCGATGCCGCTACGCTTCAGGCGGAACTGAAGGACATATATTACAAATAAGGAGCAGACCCCAGGAACACCTCTAATTTCTAACAGATCGTGCAGTATAGTATAGCTTTATGATAACAATATGCAATATATTGTCCTGGGCCCCGTTCCACAAAGCGATTATAGCGCTACGACTGTCATAAGCTTACGATCATCTTAGCACTACGATCGCTTTGTGGAACAGGGCCCTGTACACATAGAAAAATGAAAATGGATGCAACTAGCAGCACTGACAGTCATGTGGACCATACACCAGTATAGCTGTTTGAATCATTACAGACACTACTTCAACTGCAGCATGTGAGTTAAATGTAACTGACTTTTCTGCCAAGTCTATTCTGATAAGAAATCCAATGAAAGTTCAGACAGTCCACTTCCTACTTTCTTCACTAAATCAATATACTTTCTCTCAAACAAGGAAATCACAGTCTATAAGGCTTAAATAAATAAAAGAATTGGTTCTCAGGCAATGGCTTTTGAAAATATAGTGTGGGCGGGCAGTGTTCTGTTGTTGTTGTTTTTCCAGTTCAAACTAGTATGTAACCAAATTTTCTTTACAATAATTTCGGTGAAATCACGTTGTTCTTAATGATTGTTGCATTTCACTGCCAGGGTTGTGTGTTCAAGACATGGAATATTTAAAGATTTATTTTTTTGTGGAAAATGGAAATAAAAACAAAATGTGTGGCGGAATTTATGTTGATGCGGGCGGTGCTTGAGAACCAAGACTATTTTTTTTTTTTTCACCCAATAAGCACAGGGCTTCAGAGCAAGCGCAATGTCATGACATCACCAAAATTTGTGGAAGTGTGCAACATGTCACCAACATATAGATGGCAAGTTGGTCACAATGGTCAACCTGGGACTTGGTTTTCATACCATTCCAAATCTAATCTAAGACTCTAAATATACATTCCTGAGAGATGCAGAGACTGATAATCAAAAAGACCCCGGCAGATCCATGCAATCTGTCAATGGCCTGACACAGGAACGAATCTGAAACCCTGTAGTATTATCAAACTTCAATGAATCATTTGCCATGTACAACTGGTTCACCTTCTGCTCTCTGAACCTGCCATCTATCATACTGCTGACGAGGTCATCCATCCTCTTCCTCTCAATGATGAAGTCCAGCACAAGTTCTCTCCCCTTGGGCCTTTGCAGCTGCCCTGAAAGTAAATACACAAGTAGATCAGAGCCCCATTTTACGACTGTCGTAAGAGTATGGGAGTTACGATTGCCTTAGCTCTAAGATCACTTTGTGGAACATGACCCTGGACAGAAGTCACAGTTAATAAGAACCGATATTGTGGACAAACAATTGTGTTGTATGTTAACCAAATTAAGACAGTGAATGAGTGAGCGACTTGGGTTTAACTTTTACACTGCTTTTAGCAATAATCCATCAATATCAAGGCAGCAACACCAGAAATGGCTGTACCCATGTGCGGAAGACTCAGGCCAAGCCAAAGCATAAACCACTTGGCTGCCCAAAGTTACTACAGTGAAGACAACTCATGACAGGGTCAGCCTCACTCCACCCACCTGGCTGGGGCTGCAGCCTCTCCCTGGCTATCCACAACATGTCCCCAATCTGCAGTTCCCGCAGGTCGCACTCCACACCGTTCTTTATCAGCTCCGGCAGCAGCGTCTTACTCTGTGACTTGCTCCTGGAACATTACGCTCTTTAAGGACGAAAACTTTTAAACACTTTTTCCAGCCTAACCTGAAACTATTGCTTCTTTGCAGACATGTAAGTTCAAGTATTAGAAATATGTGAAATGCTGTACACCCCATAAAACCCAAACATTCCCCACAACCAAGCTCAATAAACTCATGAGCATCATAACAAAAGCATAATCCAGTCTGCCAAAAACGCTGCGTCTACTCAGGTCTTTGAAAGGCACTTAGTAATCATTAACATAAGGAAGAGAATATATGGATGTCAACTGAGTCTACTCGCCAAATACTTGGTTCTTTTTCAGCAGATTTTACTTCTTACACATTGGGTGTCATAGGCTAAGCTTACTACTATTATTAGGCTGTGAGATATGATGTGGCCATGCAGACTGTAACGAACTCAGTACTGTAACTGTAACTCAGGACTAACCCTCCATAGAACTCGCGATTGTCCACGCACAGCACTACATCAAAGGACCCGGGGGTGAGGCTGAAGTCTGGGGGTGGCAAGCTGGAGCTGGCGCTAGTGACGGACGAGGCTTGGGATCCTGCTGCGGAGAATGCAGGGGTGATGTCGGGCAGCGTCTCCTCCTCCCCCTCCTCCACACGTCTGGACTTGCCTGGACTTGGGAAAGTTGACTTGAACTTTGGAGCAGCTCTGTGTTGTAGCGATGAGGCCGTGAAAAGCTCATCAGAAGTGTGAACATTGTGTTGAAGTGTTTCTTGGTCACCAGGTGAAGGGTCTATTGTGGGAGCACTTCCAAGGAGGCGATCTCGTAGTGAGCTACTGTTTGACACTGTTGAACTACATGTGTTTGCATCAACAATTTTCTTTGTCTTTGGAGCTGAAAGGAATTTAAAAAAAGACCTGCTCAGTCAGTAAGACAAAAGTGAGATATTATTGTGCAACAAAACATTAATGAATATTACACCAGTGAAAATTTATGCTTTAAACAATTCTCTTTACAAAACTTGTAAATTAGAAACTGTTTTCAGCAAAGATAATGGCTTGATGTTCTCCATAAAACGTTCATACAAATTTCAGGGAGTGTTTCTCAATTATTCTGTTTTAAGTATGCACAATATGTGAACATGGTGAAATGTGATACGCATATACCATTTATACATCTGTAAGTATTAGACTTGATAACATGGTAACCTTGGTAACAGACCTCGAGTTTTGGCCTTTGCCTTTGAGTTTTTTCCTGGTTTCAAAGTCTCCTCAGGAGGTGTAGACAGATCATCTGTGTCACGGTCACAAATGTAGGCATACACAAAGTCTTCCCCGAGCCGTCTACAAGAAGAGGCAGCCATGACACACATACCAGGACAATACCCATCATAGGTGAAAACATGGACGATATTCAGAAAACGGGAAACTTCTGTTGATGGTTTAGCTATTATGTTCATGGACCCATTTTCATCATGTTCTCTGCCTGTGTGAGTAGCATATCTCAACCACATCTTGGAAATCAAAGCATGAGAAGGTCAAAGATTCCCACAAGCTTTTCTTAAAGTTAGAAAAATATCAACAACTCTTATTCTACATAGTGGCCCACAGAATGTCAAGGAACTTTTATTACATAAAAAATAACACTTACTTCGTGGTGTCAAGCTTGTATTTTTTCCCAGACTCAATCAAACACTGGTAGTTACACTTCACCAGGTAACCTATTGATATTACATCTGAAAATACAGAACAGGATGCAGTACCACCAACAGATTCTACACATGCATCTGTTCATTTCCCATTGATATATCCACCAGTTGGTTCACAATGTACACAAATGTCAAAAACCCTTCTGGCATACCACCACCACCACCACCACAAGAGCAATACTCAAGAGCCATACTTACTTCACTTAATGTGTGTATGGGGGTGGTGGGGTAGCCTAGTGGTTAAAGTGTTCGCTCATCATGCCAAAGACTTGGGTTTGATTTCCATAATGGGTACAGTGTGTGAAGCCCATTTCTGGTGTCCCTCACTGTGATATTGCTGGAATACTGCTAAATGCGGCGCAAAACCATACTCACTCACTCACTAATGTGTGTGTGCGTGTGTGTGTGCATGCGTGCGTGTGAGAGAAAATATCAATGTCCCTGATCTCACCACAGCTGGTTTTCTAGACGGGTGAATCAGTTTACTGTGTATATTGCAGCTAGGTTACAGGTAAACACCATCCATTCCCGGGAAACAAATTCTGGATTATAGGAATATTTATGTAACATAAAGAATTGTGACTACTCTGTATTGTCGAGAAAGCGAGACATCCAGATTATCGGGTTCTGGACTAACCGGGAAAGACTGCAGGTCTTCTTCACCTCATAAAATATTGTGATAAATATTGATAAGGCTAAACAAAATTAAAGAATCTGTTTACAGGCAATGTTTTAAAAATATAGTGCGGATGGACGGGGTCTTTTTTTGTGTTTTTGTGTTTGGTTCATGGTTCTTCAAACTAGTATAGTAACCAAATAAACAACTGTGTACAATCATCCTGGGGAAGGACCTCCCCCCATAAATGTATTCCTTGATGAGTAAAATACTTGATTACTGTATTTGACTACTGTTGGACTTGGAATATTTAAGGATTTTTAGGGTTTTTAAAAAAAATGGAAATAAAACAAAACATGCGGTTAACTTTATGATGATGCGGGCAGTGTCTGAGAGCCTAGACTATTATTTTTTTAGCCTAAGTTGTGTTCACTCGTACCATCAATGAGGACAGCAGCCTCCTCCTTCTTTGTCACCAGACGGAGATCCTCCGTCACGTACCAGTACCGCAACCTGCGACACAAAACACTCACCGTTTAACATGCTATACCCAAACAACCAGAAACAGAGCACTTCATATCGACCTTTAAAGTTTATGCTCACAAACCAATGTCCCAGAAGCCAGAAATATAAAACACACTCACAGATTGACTCAACACAACTTCATATTACCATGAAGTCCATATACTGTCATGCTGTAAAATGTAATAAAATCCTACTTGGTTGCTGCTGACTTTGAAGCAGCTGGAGGTAGTGATGGAGTTGTCTCCCCTTTTCTGTCAGACATAGCATGAAGGGCAGGTAGACGAGCTGGGTTCCTGTAAGTCGGAACAGTTGTCTCCCCTTCACTGTCGGACATCGCATGAAGGGCAGGTAGACGAGCAGGGTTCCTGTACGTGGGAGCAGTCGTCTCCCCTTCACTGTCTGACATTGCATGCAGAGATGGCAGCTGAGGGGGGATGCGGGAGGGCAGTGGAGGGACACGTGTATGTGTGCTGGACACATCGGTCATCTCCCCTCCATTGTCCACAACCTCGAGACGGTGAGCTAACTCACACCCTGTGTCCGTCAGACTGTATCTGGAATCAGTCAGAAAATGTATGAGTGAGTGAAAAGGCATCTTCCTGAGGAAAGAGTGTCCACCGTCAAAGTGTTAACCAGATCTTAATTACACAGATGTTGTCAATACTCAGCAAAATCCCTGTAGAATGTAAAGGTTAATTCAGGCTAGGACAGTCGAACCAGTGCTTCTAGTACAAGTACAAGTTGTTACGCCTTTATGAAACATTGATTTACAACACGGCTGATTGTTAGTCTTCAAAGACAATCGGGCATCCTCCTACTGTCCACAATAAGCAGCCATTGTGGCAATCAATCCCCAACAGTTCTCTTCCAACACAAGACAAGTTATGTGACATTTATCCTGCTGTGGATTTCCAAAAACAAAATGTGTTGACAACCTGATAAATACCCCTCTCCTTGAAAACAAAATAATGCAGTAAACATGTATTTCATGTGATCTTAACTTAATCCTCTGAATTAACCTGTGTACAAACATATTGGGGTGTTACGATTCACAGAGGAATCAGAAATCAGAAATTTACACACAATACATGATATGGCCACTTATTTCAATTTTGAGTACTCTCTAATATTTACAAAGTGTTGCAGTAACCTTGTCTCATATCTACTCTGGCTTGCATCACCTTCTTGTCTGTATTACCAGAAATACAAGTTAAACACAAATTGATTGATAGCAACAACTTCCTATTACACATAAAAAATATAGAATTTCACACCAAAATGGCACAAAATAAGTACATATTGTACCATCATGACACAAGTATCAGTAAATGTTTTGTTTGTTTGTTGTTTAATGCCGCACTCAGCAATAGTGGCAGCCTGAAAATATTCGAGTCTGTACACGATAATCCAGTGATCAATATTGTGAGCAACGATCCATACAATTGGGTTATAAGGACACGATATTAACCAAGTCAACGAGTCTGAAATCTGATCCACTTGGTTGTCCCTTACGACAAGCATAGGTTGCTGAGGACCAGTGCTAAAATGTCCTGGTAACGGGGGAGTCCCGATATGTATCCAAAAGTGCTTGTGGTGAATTAAGACCCTTGATACTGTAAATCTTGAAATCAATGCTTCTCCAAATGAATGAATGTGACTGCTGGCCCAAAGCCCAAAATGTGACTCATTATGAATGACCCCTCTTCCCCCCACCCCCCCCCCCCCCCCCCCCAAAAAAAAACCCCACCCTCCCACTAGCCCCAGTGGAATTACTAGTATATATAGAGAAACAGGCTTCTGTGAGGTCACAGGATGTCCATTATGTAATTTCTAGTTTTTGAATGACAGTTATATACTTGTTACAAGCGCTGCTCAATAAACAGTGATGTGGAATATACATACAGTAGTTGTTTGTTTTTATATCCAAGTTGGTATTTTTGCTATCCAAAATGGGAAGTGAGGCCGTTTTATTGTCATTTTGAGATATAAACGTGATGTTTAATCAATGCGAGCAAAGACCACTCACATTTTTCGCGTTTACTTCACACTCGCATTAATATTTCAAGATTTACAGTATATCTGGATATGCAGTCTCAGCTGCCCAGTAGGTAAGATGCTGACTTTGATGCAAACATATTACACATATTCCTGAAGCACCTCCACTGCGTGCACCTACTTTGCCGGACTGCTCTCCTTGATGATGAGCCCCTTCTTGATCAGTGTGCCCATCGAGGACCAGGACGTGTACCGGCAGCCTGGGTCTGCCTGTTGACATGAGCGAGGGACAAGGATTTAACAGTGGTCTTAACAATCACCGTGCACACAGAATGAGCTTTAGACACTGTAGAGAATCAAAGCTTGATTTCCAGTGTGAAGAGGATATATTACACTGGTTCTAGAAATATCTGTGCACACAGAATGATCCTGTGTGGACAATAAATTCTTAGACCACTATGTTAGGCCAGTGTTTATTAAAGAGGTAAGTGAATATTACTTTATCATCCAAAATTTGAGCCCACAGGAGATATCTTTTGGATGAGATCAAGGCATATCACCCAAATATCGCTACAATGAAATTGCATCACAATGCTTTGCAGACCATTGTGACATCATCCGTTACCATAACATACAAAATACAATGACATCAATAATCTCTCTGCCTCTGAAGCTGGTTAGCTGTACTTTCCAAATTGAGGACACTGGTTATTACTGTTTACAAACTGAAAAAGAATGATTTTGGACGATAAATAGCATCTCACCTGAATGTCTTTTGATTTAAAACACATCAACACTTGTTGCCAATAAGTTTAAAACTCCTCAGCCTTTAACAACTCATGTTAATACATAGAGAATCTCAACCGAGTGTCTTTTGATATCAAATATATCAATATGTTGATATATTTGATATAAAAAGACACAAGGGTGAGATTTTACTTATCATCCAACATCATTCTTCCAACTTTTTCAGTTTATAGACAGTGATAAGCAGTGTCTTAAGAGTAAAAAGTACTGCTACCAGCTTCAGTAGCAGAGCCATTAGTGATGTCATTTGGTTGTGACGTCATGGTAACCAATGACGTCACAATGGCCTGCAAAACATTGTGATGCAATTTCATTGCAGCGATATCTACAATGTAGATATCACTTGATCTCACCCAAGCGATATCTCCTGTGGGAGCCAGTTTCGGATGATAAATTTGATTCTCTATCAGTCAGCAATATTCCTGCTGACAACTGTCAACAATAGGTTTGTGGTCTACAGTGTCATGCATTGGGTTGGAGCTTGCTTCGTAACCTGCTGTCACATGTCAGCATACTCATAGGGTCAGGTTTATGGGCTCAGTGCAGGTTATGATGTCAGACCTAGTTTGTACAGGATACCATGTTCCCCGCACAGATGCAATGTCCTTGTATACATTACTTAGAGTGTGCGGTATTACCGTTACACCGGTATATTGTGGTGCAAATCTTCAGCAATATGTTTTGCGATACGTTTGTAAATGTATCAATATATTGGGGCAAATATAAATAAGTATTTTTATGTGTTCGATATGGAGATGGAAAATAATATCTTTCTGATACAACTTGTCTCTGATCTTTTAATCAATTTGCGTGTACACATCACGACTATCAAGCTTCTCACAGCGATAGCCCGTTCGCAGGTCTTTCCGAGAGTAAAATGTAGATGTTCAGCACTGGGAAGGAGCTTGTGCTTCCATGTGACCGTATTATCTCCCTTGATTGTTGCTGGGATACAAAATGGCAGATGATTCGACATCGTCGCAAATAAGCGAGCTAAAGCTGATGTCTGGCGATTCTTCGGCAATATATTGCAATAAGTATCGCAATACAGGTTAAAGTATGGCAATATATTGCTATACAAAATTCAGGTCAATACACAGCCCTATACATTACCACTGAAAATGACTTGTCAGCGAGAGGCTGGGCTCCTCTCACAATCTCAGCCTTTGTCATGAAGCCCCTGGTGTCTGGGTCCTGGAATCACGTTAATAACCTCATTATACAAGCATGAACATGAGGTTCTGTAAGCTTTGTATTTTAACAATGATTCACTGAAGTGTAAACCCTCGCAGCAATAACAATAACATCTTTGATGCAGGGAAAGGAACTCTTCCTGGTTCCCCAGCTCTTGCCATGGAGAGTGTGAGGTATCTGCAGAAACTTTTGTCAACTTTGGCATCCCACACACTTGATTGGGAACACAGGGGAAACAGGATTAAAATAATTAATTTTGGTGTCCCCAGTGCATTACTTGGCTTGCATATGACAGGCATTGACCGATACAGAGAGCAAGTAAAATGTATGCATGTAAAATGTTCCTATCTCATTATTGTGGCAAACTGTCTAACATAATGCTGGAATTCTAAGTCATCTTAAAAATTACACTTATTATGATGAACAGACTCTGTGTACATACAATATACATTTCATGTGAAACCAAAAGCAAAACACCCCCTCAAGTAATTGACAATGCATGTATTTTTCACTCTTGCCCACAACCAGGGTGCTTGTCTGAATGGGCCCTTTATGTGAAAATATCAAGTATTCCAGAGGTACCCCCATACAGCACAATGTTAAAATGACCCATTGTCTGTGGGCCTTTTTTCAAATTTAGGGGCTAAAAATACAAGGCCCCACCCTAGAATTATCCATGCACAAGCATGAGAAGCCACCATGGACTTTTCCTCAAAACAATTACAGAAAGGGCATGGTGCTGGGAGCCATGCAATGACATTATCAAAACCATCAGGAGTCCTCTCTAATGAACATGATGGGAGTCAAGATAACCCTTACCTGCATATTTCTGTACAAGCTCAGCAGGATAGCATAGGCTCCAGATCGGAACGCTGGGATGTAATCTCTGGAGCCTTTACTTCCGGATGACTTCCGGCGTTTCTGCAATGTCAACCATGACAACACATGTAATATTCACTTTCAAGATTTTAGATTTGCCATAAAGGCGTATCAAGTAATCCAATCACATAACTTTTCTTTGATATTGTTGGATCATTTTCGTTTTGTTTGTTGTATAGCACCACAGTCAGCAATACCAAACAATCCAGTGATTGACATAAATGGTTGGATTCTGATTAATTGTTATTTTATTGTTATTGTTGATTTTATATTTAAGCGGGCTTCATTTAAGTTGTAAAGGGAAGTAACTTTTTTGTTGTTGGTATCGCTATGTGCAAGAGACCGTGCTGTGAGCGGGGGACCATAGAGGTTATAAAACGGTAATTATGCAATCAAATATAAAACTTCAGTAACCGAGAAGTAAGACATTATTAAAGTGACCGTTTATTTTCATATTTGTGTCTAAATATTAGTATATTCATAGACATTTCTGCATTATTTTGCAGTCAATCAAGCTGACAGCACTACCTTAGTATTTTGTGGCAACGGCACTCTTCAACTTGAACAAGAATCAGTTAGAATATGAAACTAAGAATTAGAATAAATTATGAAGTTGAAGAATGACTTGACGTCCTCAATTCTAGAAACCCACATAAATATTATGACCAGCGTACCGATCGTCAGGGTATTATGACACGCAGGTAACCAAGTTTCTGAGCCTGATCCATTTAGTTGCCTCTTACAAGCACAGGTTGCCGCGACCTATTCTACCCCAGAATGTCCATTGCAAAAATCAAGCAGCCTGTCTTATTTCTGACATGTCTAACAGATCTGTCCAACACATAACATTAACATGAGTAAGGCATAAAATTGCAAGCTGTTGTGCTGCAAAATATTGATACAACCACCTATGTTTTAACAATATATATTTCCAAACAAATCATGAACAACTGTTCATGAGTGGGAGACTGTGTTGAACCGTGGAGTCGGGGGGCAATAGGTCCTCAATGATGGAAGTGTGGGATGAACGTTTAGAGTTCAAGTGTGGATATCCCCATCTAATTCACACGAAGAAGCCAATGATGACATGCCATGAGTGCCACTGTCCGACAAAGAAAACCTTGGTGATTGCAACTTGTCTTTATGCCTCCTGAATTGTGCAAAGATCCAGCATACCTTGCTTAGGGTGTAAAGTAAGCCTAGGAACAGTCGAGTTAGATGATTCGAATGAGTCTCCTCAGAGTAGAGTCAACTGTAGCAGTTGAAGGCGGATGAGTGCCTTGGGAGGGTGGTGTAGAGTCGGACGTAGCAGTGGTAGGTGGCACAGCTATGTGTAAACCGTGCTGCTCTAAGGCCGAACGTCATGGCATACAGTAGGTTGATCCTGAGAAGAGATATGCTGATCAAAGGATGGATTGCACTGAGTCAAAGTAAAAGTAGATCTGAATTGAGCTGGGGTACTCTTGAGCAACCTACTGCGCAAAGCCAATCTTGATGGTGATCCAGAGAGACGTAGTATTGTTGATGATGTTGATGCTTAGGTGAGGGATATCGTTGTCAATCTGGCTGATGATGTGGATCTGGAGAAATGTCACAATATCGATCTTCATGCTGAAGTAAAGTATTGATCTGTAGCAGAGGCATAGCAATGTCAATCCGAATGTCAATCCCTCGGAGGGGTGTATCGATAACAATTGATGAGTAGATGACGATCTGGGAAAGGAGGATATTGATGTCAACCTGATGAAGTGTCTCAATAATGTTGTTCAGATTGATGTCAAGAATGTCTACATGGTCTAGTCGAAGGTGAGGCGGAACATATTTGTTCCGAGGAGCGATAATCCAGATAGGTTTATGGACTTGGAGAAGCATAAGAGTAGGAGATCCTCGGTTGATATCGATCCGCAGGTGAAGAGCATCGATATCGGTCCTAATGGGGATTGGGTTCTAATGGATGACGTTCCTTATTGCGAGTAGAGTCTACTCATTGATGTCAATCCGAAGGTCGATCCAAATGTTGAGTCTGTTCTACTGGAGGAGGTTTTTTCGAATGTCAAGTCTGTTCAACCAGTGGATGGCAATCCGAAAGGTCGATCGGAATGTCAAGTCTCTTCTACCAGTGGAGGCCGTTCCAAAGGTCAATATAAATGTTGAACCTGTCCTACTAGTGGAGGTCGATCAGCAGGTCTTCCTGTCAATTGCGATTTGAATGGTGATTAGATTCTACCGATTGACGTCTCCCGGAAGTGCGATGTCTATCCAACTGACGATGTTGAGATGAATCATGATGTTGATCCGAATCACGGCAACTTCGATCCATCTATCGATGTCAATCCGAATCGTTGGAACTATTTGGAATGAGGGTCAACTGACAAAAAAATGTGAATACATTTTTTTGTGCAAAAACTGGCTTTTCTCCATATTAACTGTCTCATATGTTGCAGTTGTCTGAGGGAGATTAAATAATAATAAAAAATTCTCTGTAAATTCATACACCCAGAAAGAGAAGGAAGAGGCAGGGTATGTCAGGTGATCAGGTGGCTTGGGGTCATATCTCATGGGATAGCAATGATGCATGACCCAATGTTCCGGTGGTAACCATGGTGATGCTAGGATATGTTCGGGTAAATCAATTTTTTTGAAGCAAGAAACTTTGTCCTAGGACGTTTCCACACCAGGATCGATAAGTTTAAAAATTTGATATTAAAAATGCATCGCAACATAAACATTGTGACATCCCTAGTTCAAATAATGTCTATCAAACAGTTACAATTTTACAGTTAAATCACAACCACAACATGATGAACTTACTCTCTGTGGTCTTCCTGCATGTTCCTCATCAGAGCCCAATGAAATACTCCCAGTGGTGTCTATGGAGTTAGACATTGATGATGCATGTGTTGCTGATGCTGATGGGACTGTCTGTCTAATATGCGAACTGTCATTGGCTGGAATAGCATGTGTTGCTGGTGCTGATTGATTGGTTGTTTTTTTGGAGTGAGGGGGAGGTAGCATGTCTCCATCCTCTTCACTTTGAGGTACAGCATCAGAACTACCTGTGAACCCAAACCATAGTCAGTAAACATAAACAATAACAGTAACATGTTTAAAGCAAAAACCCTTTCAGACCCTCTTTATTTCTTGGTCTATTAGTTAGTGGGTAAAGGGAAGAAGATGAAAAAGAATATAAAAAGAAATATCAGATAGTTTCCTGTTCCACAATAACAGAACGTTTTCAGAATATTTCATGGGAGGAGGGAATGGGGGAACCAATGCACACCTTCAAACTTGAATATTATTTTATATCATAAACCTCTGGTGACGTCATCCTATTGTTCTCCAGTCGGGTTAAATCTCATAAACAGGGACGTTGTAATGTCCCTGGGATTTTATAGGATATTCAAGTCATATTTGCTATATAATGTGTTATAATATCCAAGGGATTTTATATGATGTCCTGGGTATTTTATTGATATAACTTCCGTTCAGAATTGTAACATGTAATGTAAAATCAAATGACAAATGTTTTCTTTATATTCCCGAGGATCGAACTCGCAACCTTCATATCTGTAGCCCAGTGAGTGTACCACAAGGCTATAGAGGTGTTGATAAGCCGCACTGCTTTTTAGAATGTCCTTTTCAAGATCCGTACGCCAGCAACAGATATTTTACGCCCGTTTCCTAAGGTTCATGGAAAGTATGTTCGAAACATAAAAATGTTGATAAATGTTGTTTTAAGTTTCTTTTCTCGGTTTATAAGTAAGATAAAACACTTCCCCTCAGGTTGTTATGATATTTAAAACCCTTTCCCTCGGAAAATCCCTCGGGATGCGGGTTTTAAATATCATAACAACCCTTGGACGTGTTTTATCCTATACTTAACAGTGAACTTTAAATAAGGATTCCAGATTGAAAACACAGGTAGTAGTTCGTCAGGGCTGTTTTCCGAAACCCATAAAGGTTTGGGTTAGAAAAGGCGATATCTTTAAAAGTAAGCATTTATGGACAAGATTGGCATATAGATTTTAGAAATATACTTGGCTCAAAAAGGAACAGTGCATATGATAAAATCATATGCAAACTTTCTTTTGATGCCAAGTATATATATGATTTGTGCCACACTTGTTTCACACTAAAATAACAGGTGGATCAGAAAATCCACCAGTTGGGACTTACTGAATGGCTGATAATAAAGGATGAAGGGATAAGGGAATGGACGCAGCTATGTTCATAACCTACAAGATCAATATTTACAAATTATGTCAGTGAAAATATTATCAGCCATTATAAGAATTTTCAGATAACTTACATGAGTCCAACATAGCTTTTTTAAATTCGTGCACAATGTTAATAAATTAGAATTCTTTTAATGATAACAACTAAGCATGTAGCAGGTTTAAGTGAGTGAGTGAGCGAGACAGCGAGTATGGTTTTAAGCCGCTTTTAGCAATATTCCAGCAATGTCACGGCGGGGGAAACCAGAAATTGGCTTCACACCTTGTACCCATGTCGGGACTCAAACCCGGGTCTTCGGCGTGCCCCAGCAGGTTTAAGAAAAGTACACAAACAATTTGTTCACCATAGGTTTCAATGTGCTTTGTCAGTCTGTCATCAAGCATCTTGCATATCTTGTCACCTGAAACATTACGAGAAGGGGTTTTAATGTATTATAATCAACACTGTGTAAAAAATGTCTGTAAATAATTGAGTCTGACCAGACAAACCAGTGATTGACATCATGAGCATCAACCCACGCAATTGGGATAAGATAACATTTATGAACCAAGTCAGCGTGCCTGACCACCCGATCCTGTTAGTCGCCTCTTACGACAAGCATAGTTGCCTTTTACGGCAAGCATGGCTTGCTGAAGAACTATTCTACCCCGGATCTTCACAGGTTGACTTGAACGGTTTCGTTTGTTTGTTTGTTTAACGCCGCACTCAGCAAGATCCTGTTAGTCAGCTCTTACGGCAAGAATGGGTTGCTGAAGACCCAATTCTACCCTGACACACTCATATAGTTTGTACATGTTAAAAACCTACCAAAGTTTTGCAGTATTTTGCAGTCTTTCCCTGTGTCGAGGTGGAGTGGAAAACATTTCAGTGACTTGAGCGCCTGCAAACAACAAACATCACTTGTCTACTCATTTAACACATTAGGGAGCACAGGTCAGGGACTTGGGTACAATTTTATAAAATTTGGAATGAAGTGTTTATTTTGTCCAAAATTCGAGATGTTTTGGGAAATTTCTTACTTTCATAATTGATGCTTCTTAGCAGTAGTTACCATCATATTATCATATTATTCATTTATATACCACAGGTATCCAGGTACTAGTATCAGCTCAAATGCAGTTCTATTTGTTCCCCTACTGTTTTGCATTCCAGTTATCATTCTCATCTCCCTGGGGGACTATACAACCCAAGCTGCCAATGGGTGCTAGAGGGTTTTAACATCCACCTCACATATCGGGTACCCATTCCCTGCTGGGTGAACAGAGGCACATTTGAACTAAGTCACTTGCCCAGGGTGACACCACACGTTTTGACACTTGGGTTTTGGGTGTATGTTTGTATTCGTGTTTCCCACATCTGGTCATCTACCATCTGACGAGTGGGTTCTTTTGAGTGCAAAGGGTGTATGTACTGTACACTAGGGGTAGTGACAACACTGTAAAGACCTGTAAACATTGTCGGTCCCAAGACTGAATAACAACTTGAGGGATACAATCTCAGCACCTGGCGCTTTTGACCGAATTATGAAGAAGTAACGGTGACCCTGTTTAAATCATAATGGAATTTTGCCAAACAATTGGTAATTTGTAAGATATGTTATCATGGTTATACAACATTCTTGCTCCAAGAAAGCAAGCATACTATGATACTGAATAGATCTGAAACAATCATGACCTTGCTGTAGATATACTGTGACTTCCATCCTTTCTCTGCTGCCTCGTCTCTCCATTCTTGCAGCCAGCGTTCAAACAGTGGATTCGGACATTTTGGTAGCTTCTTCTTACGTTTTCCCAGAACGGAAGTCATTTTCCTAAAAGGTAAAATGGTAGAACCATGCAACCATACATAACACTTTTAATATTGCCTAATTATCATGCATATGTCAAAATTAAATGATATGTTGTCACGTATTGACAGGGGAGTAATAACAAATTGTTGTATAAACAGGCTTAAACGGCACCTCAGCAATGAGCTGATCACTGACAACAGGCATTGATTGAAACCGCTTCCCACGCAGACCCCTGACGCTGGTCAGTAGAATCGGTAAATATAAAAATGCCGTGATGATACCATCCCCGTCGCCGATATTACTGACCTGCCTCAAACTGAATAAATCATCAACAAACACCCAGATTCAAGATGTTAGCCAATGGTGGAGGTTTGTCTCTATGATAAAACAGTGATCATTGTTGGGGTCCCGTTGGCGAACACACACCAAAAAAAGGAGGTGTGTATACATCATTAGTCATAATATTTTACCGTTATGAATTATCACGAAATTACCAGCCTTGCAAATCAAATTTTTCCGCCAAAATATCGGAAGTAGAACATTTTGCTGCGAACAACAAAAAACGAAATACACGATAAATACGAAACTTATTATTATTGGATCCTAGGTATCCATCGTATGCAAAAGGTATAACAGTATATAGATATTTTTGGAAATTATAAAATTTTAGTTACATTTTAACGAATCAAATTCCAGGAATGTCATTTAGCGCGAACCTAAGACATGCCGGATGTTTTCCTCGACAACCACTTGCGAGCGCTGATAATTTATTTTCTTTGCATGTTACAGTGATTATTGTTACACCATCAAGTGTTGGTTGCTTTTGTTTATAGTCTTGTTTCTATGTCTAGACGGTAACCGTCATGTCAAACACTTCTGTCGGCGTGAGAGGGTCATCTAGCGAAGCATCAGGGTAGGACATTTACAAGTTCTGGCCAAATATTCAATATTTACCATCTCTGATTGTCAAACTCGGTTGTCAACAACCTGATTCAACCTGATTCAGACTGTGTTGATTATCCAGTAGTACTGAAGTTATAGAAGCACATAAAGTATATGGTAGTAAACATGGTAAATGAACCAAAACGAAAACGTATCTTATCTTCACAACATCTATGATAGTAATGATGGAATCGTGCTTAGGATGAATATGATTGTGACAGTTCAGGAAGAAGTGCATGGTGTGCAAGTAGAAAATTCTGTTCAGTCTGGTAAACTCAGCTTTATAAAACATCAGTACCATAACGCTAAAGTCTTCTTAAAATGATTCAAAACATTATGCTCAGGCTTGTAGACTCAAAAGTATTTGGCAAGGACTGTATTTAGGGCATAAGGGCATGACAAAATAGGTGAACTGGCATTGTGATACTTCGCATCTACACAATCTCTATTTTAATTAGATATTGGCAACAATTCTGTGATACTGGTAATCTAGCTGCTATTTAGCCAATGGGGTTGAATCATTCATTGTAAGTAAAGGAATCATCCACAGGAAAACTTTCCCAAAAGGCAACAATTCAAGACAGACATGGACTCAAAACTATCAAAACAGCAAAAGACCTATAACATAAGGCTGCAAATTGGCCATGGCTATTATTATGTCATCTTCCCGAGGCAAGTGAGTTAACTGATTATAAAAGTCCAGTTTCCAACCTTGCCGAACTAGGCTGGTATTATGGAGTTACATTTTGGCTGGGCTAACGAGTCTATGCATAGTCCAATCAAAATCACGCACCGAAATAAAAATCCGGTTTGTAAAATGTCGTGCAGATTTCTGTCGATTGCAGGATTTGCAAAGCATGTGCACCGCCAACTCGTTGTCAACAGATATTTTCCAAGTCTTTTCATGTTTTTAATCAAGGTGCTCACGTGATTTGATGCACTTCGCTATGTAAGACCCGTTTTATCACAATATAGATCTTGATTATCAATCAGATCGTTTTGACTGGGCGCCACCATTTTGTTTGAAACAAATGCAAGTGATACGAGAGGTGGAATCTGATTGGTCCACAGGAGAGGCTTAGAAGGAACATAACTTGTAATAACCACTGGTGGCGCTACGGTCGAGCCTAGGAATTCCAGCCTAGTTCGGCCTTTCATAGTCAGTTAACTCCCTTGCCTCGCGAAGATGTTATTATGTATGAAACCCAGTTCTTATAATGTTTAAATTCACATGAATCTTAACATCTGCAATAGTGTCAAATTGAACATTGATTAGAATATTCATATGAACATCATGAATACAAATAAAAAAATTGTGTGATTCACAAATCCTTATGTACATGATGTAATGCATTTATTTGTGTTGTCATTTCTCATTTATATCACATACACCTCCATATGACATTATTCAACCCATAGTTAGGTTTTATTACCATTTCCTCAAACATCTTCCAAATTTAAACATGATCAAGTTTTTTCTCCTTTGATTTTAGTCATATTCATAGTTCATCATGTTCATAGAGAACATTTTTTAAGTTTGAATGTTTGTTTCTTGCTGTAGTGATGGTAGTGTTGCAAGACGTTTTGCTCGAGACAAATGACCTCGGGATTAGCTAGAACATCCTAATCACCTTAATATCTTATAAGTTTGATAAATTTTGATAGGACATTTGTCACATTCATCAGTTTCATTACAAATTCTTAAACAAATCTTTATGGTGTCATTGTTCTGGAATACCAATCAATCTGACATGTCTGATACTCTGGTGTTGTGTTTGTGTCAAATCAAAGATGACAAGATCATGTGATGATGATAATAAATGTATGTCTGTTATTGCATGCTTGGGGCACGGGGTGGCCCAGTCTAAGGCGCCTTAATTGCTGTGCAGAGTTGCATCCCTTGGTAACACCTAACAACCTTTGAATTTGGGTTTTGATTCCTGGTTCGCCCCGATTATGTTTCTAGGTTGTCAGCACCATATCCGTGCTCTCCAAAGTGGTTTCTCCAAAGTGGTAAACGTCTGAGACCTGTATCACTCCAGGCTTTAACCATGATATAAGTTGAATACTGTTTAAGCAGAGTTAAACCCAACTCACTCACTCACTGTTGTTGCATGTTTCATCACTCCGTAAGTCAGCGGACAGCGGTATGTGACACATTCCATCAGATTCATAGTATCAGCATGATCAGTGATGTAACACTTGATGCATTATCATACTGTTGCTGGAATGTTGCAGCTGTGAGTCTTTCAAACATCAGTCTCATTAAAATCAGATCTTAGTTCTTGCTATCGCTAAACAAAGATCTGAGGACATCCCATTACGGGTCATGTCAGACCGACCTTTCATCCAACCAATCAGAGCGTCTCTTACCAGATCATGAAAGTGACAGTTGGAATGTGTTTTCTAATCATGCAACCATTAAATATTTAACACGGGGTATTCCGAACGACAGTTACAGGTTTTACGATTATATCCATACAATCTAGGCCATCTATAAGCCATTCCAGAATGTTCTTCTTATCAGTTTTAATTTTTTAATCGAGAATACGTCAAAATATGTTTCGCAGCGGTAGTCGCCAGTTTGAAACTAGTGTCGTAAAGCTTGAGAAAGCTGCCTTCTGATTGGCTAATGTTGATTTCTTGTCAGTCATTTCATTGGTCGGTCAAAATTTGCAAAAGGTCGTTTTGACGTGACCCGTATTGTTTAGCAGTAGAGAAAACTAAGATGAGATTTTAATGAGATTGTTCAAACGTGGACATTCCGACATCGACATTCCGACATCGACATTCCGACAAAGTCACTTGCTCAAAACCATATTTTCCTTTAGCTAGTCAATCCTGAATCATGTTCATAAGTTAATGACTTTTTGTTGAAAAACAAATGTGCATGAATCATGTTGATAACAACATGAATTGAAGAAATACTTGAAAATTCCTTGGCAGTGTTAGGAATGGACAACACATTTAGTTTACTACCATCATTGGACTTCAGGACCCATGAAGATCCGGGGTAGAATAGGTCTTCAGCAACCCATGCTTGCCGTAAAAGGCAACTATGCTTGTCGTAAGTGGCGACTAACGGGATCGGGTGGTCGGGCTCGCTGACTTGGTTGATGCATGTCATCGTATCCCAATGGTATGGATCGATGCTCATGATGTCAGTCACTGGACTGCCTGGTGCAGACTCGATTATTTACAGACAGCTGTCATATAGCTGGAATATTGCTGAGTGCGGTGTTAAACAATAACAAACAAACAAACATGAGAGACTATCAATGATTGATAGATTAACAGCATACTGGTAATATGTGTTTTGATCAATAAGTGAATTGTTAAATATTTCAATAAAACATGTTTGAAATCATGTGGAAATGTCCTATATTTGGTTTGAGTTGAAATCATGGCATGTCAACAATAATATCATTGCATAAGGGTATGTAATCAGATGTTTCTTTCCCTTTTTTTTCCATTGTCATTGACGTCAGGTTTCCTTATTTTTCTCCTGTCTTTGATTTATTTTTTTGCCATTATTTGAAATTGACAGCTCTGTGCTGAGATAGTGTAGTCAGCATTCAAGGGTGGTAGTAATGGCGGGTGCCCCTACTCATGAAGCTGGCTTGCTCTGGAGACTGCTGAACCGCAGTGGAACCGAAAGCAATGGGTAGAACAGATCATAAATAATCATATAATGGATTATAGAAATGTTTATACACATGTGTTTACTTTATGGAAGTAATCCATCTCTAGCTTAAGAGTTTCTTTAAATTTGAGCTTATTTGTAGCTTGTAAAACTAAAATAAAAAGCACATTTTTGTTGAAAGTATTGAATTTCTTTCATAAATGAGTCCAACAGAATGGGAATGGTGTTTGAAATGGCATGTCAGCCTTCTTAACTTTTGCCACAGATCATACCATTGATGTGGCTTGCCATCCTTCATTATCCAGTATTTTGTATTGCCATTCTGTTAGGATAAATGACCTGGGCCCACTTTCACAAAGCGATCTTAGCGCTAAAACTATCGTAAGCATATGTTAAAGTATGGGAGTTAAGATCATCTTAGCGCTAAGATCGCTTTGTGAAAGTGGGCCCTGGCTCTAGTTGTTACCATAGCTTTGGTTCGATGGACACAATGATTAATATATCAGTTGTCAGTTACTGATAGAGCGATGGAGATAGTGACTTGTTGTATTTATGGTAGACAGTTGGTCAGAATTGAATTGAGATATTGTGCTATTGATTATCAAAGATAATGCTTTAAGCATGGTAGGAGGACTTGGCAAAGGTTTAGTGAAGCAGAAAATAACAATGTTAATTTAGTTTCTCTTTTGATTTTTCCCTCCCCAATGTTAAATGAAAGTGCAACTAAATCCTGTTTTACTGTTTAATAAAGCAAGTCTGAAGTATGAAGTGAATGAAATTTCTCATTTGACAGAGATAGCACAAAATGGCTGGACGCATACCACGACCCCATGTCAACTCTGTACACATTCACACAGTGTATGACTCTCTCGGACATCCAGGCAGATGGAGACTGGAAACTGATTGTTGCTGATCTGGGGACTGGCAGTTATGACATGAAGCTGAAGGTGTACAAAAGTAAGTTATTGCTTATAGTGATCCTTCATCATGATGAAAACAGATCATGTTTTTATTTCACACGTAAATTCTTACCTTTGAACATGTTGGCTATGTTTGATGCATAATTGTTTCTTTCCCTTTATTATAAACCTATAGTGACGTCATCCTATTGTTCTTAAGGTGTCTTCAAATAGGGGAAAGACCACAGACTCAGTTGCTGGTATCCATGCCCAGGAATTTCTGACAGTATGCCCGTGACTTTCTAACTTAACTGGAGAGTGTTATATATCACCAAAGATTTATGAACATACTTTTGATATGCATCTAATGTTTGACTGGTTAAAATTCCCGTTTTTTACATGTGTATGGAATCTGGAACATCATTTATAATGTTTAGCATTGTAACCCACTGTTTTCTTGCTGAGCCACTGAGGCAGGTGATGAAAGGGTGGTCAATCTTACATGCCACTGTCTTCGGTTGTCTACATGCTGCACATGATCTTTCTCAAACCTGCTGTCATTGAATTTGTTTTATACCGTAACTTCTGTATTGTTACACTCTAAAGCATCCCAATGTTTTTTATTCTTTTTGGTATTGCTTGCATTTTGACAGTTTGTAAGATAGTTAAAACCGTCTTCCTCAATTTTGGTTGAAAATGTAAAACCGTGAGTTCGAGGAAAGCACTTGGGCTTTCGTCCCTTGGGACCTGGGGCATTTCCCTGCTTGTGATAGCTCTTTCAGAGCTTGATGTTTTACATTTTCAACCAAAACTGAGGAGGAGTGTTTTAAGTATAACATAGTTTACAGTTACAACTGGATTCAATAACTGAATGGTTAAATTTGATCCTAGATACATCTATCTGTACATATCGACCAGTATTGGTCTTTAATGTATTTAATCCTTGGTGCATGGATTCAAGTTGCAGTATTACAATCTTCAGAAGGGATGAAAAATAAAATATACCATGATACGTGGCCAATGCAAGGTTTGTGTACCTGAAGTTTCTCAGCAAAGTACATGTGGACGTGATCCCATGTCATGAAGACTTTCCCATTAATTGCCATGATGAGAAGTCATATAAAAGGGTTTAGAAAGCCTAATGTTAGCTAATGTTTATCGTTTATCATATGTAAGACACTATGGATGATTGTAAATGGTTTAAATATAGACATTTATCATAGGAAGCTGTGATATGTTTAGCTTCAGCCATTTCATTCCATGACCCAAGGATCTCACTGAATTTCTGACACTGATTTAATCGATTATTGATTTGTTTTTATTGATAATATGTAGGTTTCGGTATTGCCGACACATGATATGTCGCATATTGGTTGAGGTGTTCTGTGTACTGTGATATGTGGTTCACATAGGAAGTGATCAGCGACACCCAGCTGTTACTGAGAGTCAGTGCTAGTGGCTACTCTGTAAACAGTGAGTGAGTGAGTAAGGTTTTACTCCGCTTTTAGCAATATCCCAGCAATATCACAGCGGGGGACACCAGAAATGGGCTTCACACATTGTACCCATGTCGGGAATTGAACCCGGGTGATATTGCTGGCAATTGCTAAAAGCAGCGTAAAACAATACTCACTCACTCACTAAAAATTGTATACCTTTTTTTATTTAGACACTAACATCCTGAGTGAACACACCATCATCGACCTGCCGACTGGGGTGGTCACATTCTACATGGACACCCTGGAACCAAGGACGCCAGGTAAGATGGGAACTGATCGGGGATTTTCCGCTCCATTCAGTCATCACATGTCAAATTGAGCGAGTGAGTTAAAATTTAACGTCACATCGGCATTTTTTCAGCCATATAGTCAGAAGACCAAGTTTATACACACAATTTACACATGACAAAGGACACACCAACAGACAAATGGCTACTGTCAAACTTTTGGTTAAGTGATCTAGATACATAAATGTACCACAGTTCACGATATCATGAGGACATTGTGATAAATACGCAAAGCCTACATCCCCTGATTACCAGCTTCTTACTGATGGAGAATTGGAATCAAGTGGTGTGTTGCTTATGTCGGTCCTGTAATACGTTTTGTTCAGAGTTCACTGTTCTTCCTTGTATCAACATGGGGATTCCAGGTTAGAATTGGTCCACTGAAACCTGTGCTGGTTATAAGAGGCGACCAAATGGATCAGTTGACCTGTCTCTAGCCCAGTAGCATGTCCTGTGTCTCATGTTTTGTCAGAGTTCACTGTTCTTCCTTGTATCAACATGGGGATTCCAGGTTAGAATTGGTCGACTGAAACCTTTGCTGGTTATAAGAGGCGACCAAATGGATCAGTTGATCTGTCTCTAGCCCAGTAGCATGTCCTGTGTCTCATGTTTTGTCAGAGTTCACTGTTCTTCCTTGTATCAACATGGGGATTCCAGGTTAGAATTGGACCACTGAAACCTGTGCTGGTTATAAGAGGCGACCAAATGGATCAGTTGACCTGTCTCTAGCCCAGTAGCATGTCCTGTGTCTCATGTTTTGTCAGAGTTCACTGTTCTTCCTTGTATCAACATGGGGATTCCAGGTTAGAATTGGTCCACTGAAACCTGTGCTGGTTATAAGAGGCGACCAAATGGATCAGTTGACCTGTCTCTAGCCCAGTAGCATGTCCTGTGTCTCATGTTTTGTCAGAGTTCACTGTTCTTCCTTGTATCAACATGGGGATTCCAGGTTAGAATTGGTCCACTGAAACCTGTGCTGGTTATAAGAGGCGACCAAATGGATCAGTTGACCTGTCTCTAGCCCAGTAGCATGTCCTGTGTCTCATGTTTTGTCAGAGTTCACTGTTCTTCCTTGTATCAACATGGGGATTCCAGGTTAGAATTGGTCCACTGAAACCTTTGCTGGTTATAAGAGGCGACCAAATGGATCAGTTGACCTGTCTCTAGCCCAGTAGCATGTCCTGTGTCTCATGTTTTGTCAGAGTTCACTGTTCTTCCTTGTATCAACATGGGGATTCCAGGTTAGAATTGGTCCACTGAAACCTTTGCTGGTTATAAGAGGCGACCAAATGGATCAGTTGACCTGTCTCTAGCCCAGTAGCATGTCCTGTGTCTCATGTTTTGTCAGAGTTCACTGTTCTTCCTTGTATCAACATGGGGATTCCAGGTTAGAATTGGTCCACTGAAACCTGTGCTGGTTATAAGAGGCGACCAAATGGATCAGTTGACCTGTCTCTAGCCCAGTAGCATGTCCTGTGTCTCATGTTTTGTCAGAGTTCACTGTTCTTCCTTGTATCAACATGGGGATTCCAGGTTAGAATTGGTCCACTGAAACCTGTGCTGGTTATAAGAGGCGACCAAATGGATCAGTTGACCTGTCTCTAGCCCGGTAGCATGTCCTGTGTCTCATGTTTTGTCAGAGTTCACTGTTCTTCCTTGTATCAACATGGGGATTCCAGGTTAGAATTGGTCGACTGAAACCTTTGCTGGTTATAAGAGGCGACCAAATGGATCAGTTGACCTGTCTCTAGTCCGGTAGCATGTCCTGTGTCTCATGTTTTGTCAGAGTTCACTGTTCTTCCTTGTATCAACATGGGGATTCCAGGTTAGAATTGGTCGACTGAAACCTTTGCTGGTTATAAGAGGCGACCAAATGGATCAGTTGACCTGTCTCTAGCCCGGTAGCATGTCCTGTGTCTCATGTTTTGTCAGAGTTCACTGTTCTTCCTTGTATCAACATGGGGATTCCAGGTTAGAATTGGTCGACTGAAACCTTTGCTGGTTATAAGAGGCGACCAAATGGATCAGTTGACCTGTCTCTAGCCCGGTAGCATGTCCTGTGTCTCATGTTTTGTCAGAGTTCACTGTTCTTCCTTGTATCAACATGGGGATTCCAGGTTAGAATTGGTCGACTGAAACCTTTGCTGGTTATAAGAGGCGACCAAATGGATCAGTTGACCTGTCTCTAGCCCGGTAGCATGTCCTGTGTCTCATGTTCAGCAACAACATCATGGGAGATGATTCTGCAAAATGAAAGAAGCAATTTGACAACTTTGCATGTGTGATCTTACAAATGGTCATGACCCATCGAGGTTCAGATCTTAACTTAGAGCGGTATCGAGATCTGATTTTAATAAGATTGGATCCAGAACTGATCTTTTATTGAGCGAGAAATACTGACCTGACATTTGTCTGTGTGTGTTCAGCTATTGCTGTGGCCTCGGGTCCCTACATCTACATCTACAAGAACCTGCGACCATACTTCAAGTTCACCCTCCCCCCTCTGGAAATCTTCCCTCTGGAGCAGGAGCTGTGGAATCAGGCTAAGGATGTACGTACAGCAAGCAGCATTACTCCTCTTGTAGTGCTGGCATCAGGGAACTCATCCCCTGCTGATGATTATGATTAGTGTTACATTTAATCATTTTCTTATTTCATATTACTATTTCCCAACCTTAACCTCAACAGGTTCTGTATGCAGTTAGTACTCAGCAGATTTACATTTGATCACACTTTGGTACGCTGTGATTGTTACAAGTCATTATGTACATTATGCTCTGTCTGCAACTTTAGCCACTAGTCCGAAAGCCCATGTCTATAAAAGTCTAGTAAGCTCAGCAAATGTTATAACACCAAACTCAACTAAAAAGGGTTGGTAAAATATTCAAAAGAAATATCAAGTGTGTTTAACCTGTATATAGTGTTTTTTCTGTGTGTGGTAAGCTGTTAACAGTCTGACTACTTCGCTTCATAAATTTCCTAAAAATCTTTGCGGCATTCAATTTCTAAGAAATGTATGCCATATTTGGAAGTGCTTTTACGTTTTTACTACAATTTATGAATGAAAGTGCCTTGTTGTTGACCTTTCTGACCTAGATGTGTATTAATCTCATTGGTTGACTAAATACTGTTGTATTCAAATTAAAAATTGCCAATCTGGGATGCTAGCTAACAATTAACCAATCAATTTGCATAAAATAATAACATGATACATTCTCGCGAAATTTGATTAAGTTCGATGTGTTGATATTTCTGTGCAGACGAGTCACGATGTCAACTCAAAGACAAATTAACATGAGGTTTACTTTATCTTTGACTTTGAAACCCTGATCGAATAACTCGTTCTTATTACGACTATCAAATCACACCATTGTTTCTGGAGTGTTTCTTTTTGTTCACACAATAAATGTATTCGGTTCCAATACAGAAGCTATGCTAACAATTCCACTTTTATTCAGCACTTTTTATTCAAAAAGATAAGGGCCTGACTTATATGGATGAGGTTAATTGTCACTAACAATATTTCAGGTTCATAACAACATGTTCTTTTCAAGGCTGTTCATGCATACTACATGATGTTACAGATAATACAGTATACAATGTGGCTATTTAATCAGTGTTATGGTTCATATATGCTTGTCGTAAAAGGCGACTAATGGGATTGGATGGTCAGGCTTGCTGACTTGGTTGATGCATGTCATCTGTCCAAATTGCGTAGATCGATGCTCATGATATCAATCCCTGGATTAATTTTTTGATAGGCATTTCTAAGAAGCTGAAGGATGACAAAGTAGACACAATTTGTGGATAACAACTTCTTTAATACTGTAAAGGCACCGTTTCGGTATAGATCCTTATACCGTTGTCAAGCAAGACTGAATGAGGAATTTGCTGGAATATAGCTGAGTGCGATGTTAAACAACAAACAAACAACAGTTTGTTACTTTCAGGTAGGATTTCTCATTACATTGCTTCTTGCAGAAGGAAAGAAGAAGGAATCCATTGAGATTATATTTAGTGTGACCATTGTTTACTTCCAGGACCGTGTGAATGTATTTATACTGAGAGAAGCACTGGAGGGATTGAGGTAGGCAGTGGTTGTTAATAGGCTTAATTAAACAGTAAGTTTTCCTCCCTACCCACCTCACTATCAAATAACCCTCCTCACATCATTATATTGTCACCGTGTATAGTTGAAGAATGCTATGATATCTGTTCCCTACTTTACTTCATGATGCACCTTATTTCATACATGTATATCTTACCATATTTGCATTAAAATGGGCCCAATAGTCAAAGTAGTTAACAATAACGGAACACCAAAATTTGTACATAGATCGTTCTTACTCGAAGAAAAAACACAAAAATATAATCATACATATTTCTATTTCTCACCAAACACCGTCAATTTTTCTGGCGTAACCATGCATGCACATTTATCAAGTGTGCATATACAGTACATGTATTCGTGTCCCCTTTAGTTGAACTATTACCCGACCTCATTCCATAATTGGAATAACGCGAGTGTCTGATAACGCGGGGGGTTGTCCATGGACCCCGGGACCCGCGTTATTGTGGGGGATGACTGTACAAGTCTTTAATGAATTCTTTTGACCTCAAGTAAAAATTGATTTAATGGATTACATGGATGTTTTTTACTACATTTTTCTATTACTGCCTGTGTAATTGTACTTCATATGCATTTATTTCAGAGCTGAAGGCAACACGTTGACGGTGCGATCTTTACGGTTCCTTCAGTTGGAGGCCAATGACCTGGAGGCCTTCGCCAACCTGCACAAACACTTTCCTCTGAAACGACAGGTGAGGGCTGGATGTAAACTTTCTGTTACCACTTGAGAGGCTGTTTTCTTCCTACCCCAAGTTCGGGGGATTGCACTCCCTTGAATGTCAGTTTCTTAAGAAACAATTTGGGGTGATCTTGTTGTTGAAAACATTTTGACACATAAACACATTCAGTTTGACGTGTTGTGTATTTTAAGAATCTGTCCTAAGAATGTCCAATAGAGTGTTCAGTTGAGTGAAAAAATCAGATGACTTATCAACGATCAGTTGACTTTACTAACCATGCTGGCAGTTGGCTGGATAAATATTTGCCTAATCCTTAAGAAATCTTACTGGTCATAAAAACAAGTGTTTGAATGGTATTTGTTGTAAAATTATCCCACCAATCTAGGTCCTCAAAGTAGACACAGTTTATAAGTAACAACTTCTTAATCACTATAAAGGCAGCATTGCAGTATATATCCTTATAAAAGCAAGCATCATCAATCAAGGACAATGGAAAAGGATCTATACCACAATGTTGCCGTTAAAGTAAATAAAGAAGTTGTTATCCATAAATTGTGTCTACTACCGGTAGTCATCCGTCAACTTCTGAGTAATGCCATCAACAAATTAATTAATCTGGGTCCTGTTCCAAGCTGATCTTGGCAGCCTGACAATTGTAAGTATGTGGTAAAGTATAGGAGTTACAACAAACGTAGCTGAGATTGTAAAGATCGCTAAGAGGAACAGCATAAAGTGGGTGTGGCAAATACAAGGTAGGAACTGACAGAGTAAGCTGATATTGTCTTTGTAGACTGTGATAACAAGCCTTGCCACCTTGAAGAAATCCATGGCTGATGAAGATGCCATCAGCTGTCTGGTCCTGGGGACAGAGAACAAGTCTATCTATGTCCTAGACCCTGAGGCCTTCACAGTTCTCACAACAGTAAGTACACACCCATATTAATGTTACATCTATGTCCTAGACCCCGAAGCCTTCACAGTTCTCATAACAGTAAGTACACACCCATATTAATGTTACATCTATGTTCTAGACCCTGAAGCCTTCACAGTTCTCACAACAGTAAATATGAACACACATTCTGAGGTGATTTAAAGTCATTTTCTAGTGGTCTGCAAACCATGTGACTGTTGAGTTATATCCCTTTCTTGAAGATTTCTTTCCTTCAGATAGGACTTTTGGCTTCATGTGAGTCAATTTGCTTGATAAAGTTAATAGTTAATATAATAATAAAGACGTAAAAATCCATGTCATTCCTGTTTCCAATGATTCATCATCTATAGTGCCACAAAGTTAAATGTTGGCATGTCAGGGTGATGCTGATTATGTTGTAACTTGTAAAGAACGCCTGTCACTGACGTTGACCTGTTTCAGATGGAGCTGCCCAGTGTCCCGGTGTTCCTCAGTGTGAACGGCCTGTACGATGTGGAGTACAGGATAGTGGTTGCATGTAGGAATGGATGTGTCTACACCCTGAAGAGGTTGGTCATAAGTCAGTGACAAATCTGTTACTTAATATCATATCACACCTTAGAAATGTCTTCATTTTCAAGTTTGCCACTTGGCTCTCCTAAAGATGTGCTCTTTGGAACTGAAGCGAGCAAACAAGAAGACTACTTTTGAACCATCTACAAACTCAGATTGTCATTTCACCATGAGCTTGATCAGAGTATCTGTTTACCCTCCTCTTATCTTTAAGGTTGATAATACGCTTTTTTATTCCTGAATCTACGAATATTTCTTATCATTGTCAATGTGTTTGTCCAGCTTACATTTAACAATGGCTTCATTTTATAGCAACAAATATTGTTACAAGAATATATTTTAATAAGAATATGATTTCTAAGTGAGTCTTCCAGGCTCAAGGAAGTTATGACCAGAAACTCTGACTCTGACTCTGTACTCTAATACAAGAAACCTGAAGTCAGGGGTTCGAATCCGAGATTCACCCCTATTATGTTTCTTGGTTTGTCTACTCCAAACCCATGCTCGTAGGTTTCACCAGAGTGATGAACGCCTAAGACCGGCATCACTTCAGGCCTTCCTCCCACATCAAGTTGACACGCTGTGAAGTATCTGAAATACTGTTCAAAGCGGCGTTAAACTCACTCACTCGAGTCTGAGTCTATTTTCACATGGGTTGCAAATGTATATTGATAATGACGTGATTGTCCAGGTGTAAGATTGGAATAATGCCCAGTGATGACACAACGATGTCTTGAGTCAATGTTGTTTATTCAGTTGTACTCAAGAACAGACATGTACGTGCACACATAGCAGCTCTCGGAACCAGACTTGAGTCTAACCGTCATTCCCCAGCAACCTACCTCCCTTACGTCACGTATACCATCACACAGAACATTACTTACCAGTAACAATTTACCCTGATGGCGTCGAGCACAATCACTCGCTGGGCACCGCCATCTTGAATGGAGTCTCACACTCGCTAGATGTCATTATATCTTTACAAACCAATTTTTAACATTTAACGCAGGGGATCAACGGAGGGAGCCAAGTACACTATAGAACTCAACTCACAGCCCGTTGGCCTGGAGAGAATCAACAAGAACATCTACGTGGGCTGTATGGATGAAACAATGCACTGCTTCACGTCCAAGGTGAGGGGAATCAGGAGTGCTTGATTGTTATTTATCGCCACACTCAACAATATTCCAGCTTTATGACTGCGGCCTGTAAATAATCGAGCCTGAACCACACAGTCCAGTGATTGACATTATAAGCATTGATCTACACGATGGGGAGACAATGACGTGTGTCAACCAAGTCAGCAAGTCTAAACACGAGATCCCATTAGTCTCCTTTTACGACATGCATGGCTCACTGAACACCAATTCTAACCTGGATCTTCACGGGTTGGATTCAGTAGTCACAACACGATAGGTATCAGGATACTCTTTCCCTGTGTTGCTGTCAACCAGATTATGTTTTACTTGAATAACTGGTTAATTTAGACTCATTCTTATGGTATTATGTAATCAGATGTAGCATTTGGTTTCACAGTAGATGCTGTTATACTAGGCTATACTAGCCTGATTACCGGTAGTTGTGAGACAGGGTAATTACAAACCTTTTAAAAAAATACTTTTTGACAATTACTAAATCCTCACATTAATTGATACATGGTTTGACATGTGACGTTTCATTTATTCAGCTGTAAGTTCCTGATGCATCGATACATAGTTGACACGTGACAACCTTAAGCATCAGTAGGGAAGTTTAGTAGTCTTTTGTTTTAATAATAAAGGTGTAAGGTTTCATTTCATTTGTGTCTTGTTTAACGCCGCACTCAGCAATATTCCAGCTATATGATGGCGGTCTGTAAATTATCGAGTCTGGGCCAGACAATCCAGAAATTGATATCATGAGCATCGATCCATGCATTTGAGATCAATGACATGCATCAAACCATCCGATCTCGTTCGTTGATTTTTGTGGTGTAACAATATAGCGATACAGTATATGATCGTGTCCCAATACGAGGCCCAAGATACAATACATCGGTTTACGATCCTTGTACCAACATACTTTACATAACAAGTTATTTTGGTGTAAAAACATGCGATTATATTGACACAAATTGTTCAATGCCTGGCTTATGCAGTATTTTCTAGTTGGCTATAAATGGTACACTATTCACAGTGCCCTCAAGCCTATATGTTTCTGCCCTACAAATGTCCCATCTATAACCTCTGAAATTTAAAAAGAAATGATTCAGAGTGAAATGCAAAATAACAACTTATTAAATAAAAGTACTGTATCGGGTGACCCCACCATATCATTACACATGTAAATGATTTGATGAACATTTGGTGCATCAGGATGTGCTGTGCCTCAACATTGTAACGGCAGGTCAACTATTGATACGAAACCATCAAACCATACCTGTTCTCATGGGTTTCACCAAAGTGGTACACATTTAAGACTATTACTTCAGGCTCTCCCCAACATTCAGCTGAGACACTGTAATATCACTGAAACACTGTTCAAATCATTGTTAAACCTAGTTCATGTGTTGGATGAAAGATGCAACAGTGTCCTGTTTACTTGAATACCTGGCAGAACCAGTTAGATTTACAGCTTTGCCCTCCTTGTACATGTTGTTGTGTCCTTGACATGACAAATCGGAAAGAACTGAAATACTGGAATGGCTGAGAAACAGAAGCATCCACGTGATACATCAGGAAAATCTAATGACATAGAATAAGCTTCTTGAGAATTTTCCATAGAAGAATGAAAACTAGTCAGCATACATGTAAAGGGAGACAACTGTGTCAGTTCTAGTTTTTGAATTTATCTTCAGATACGAATTCCTGACGTGATGAACTGAAAGAGTGTTGATGTGCCTTTTACAACATCTCTTACCCACTCTCTCAGATAGGGGCTGAATTTCACATCGTCTCAGTCTACATAAAAATGTTTTCTATCTTCAGGGAAAGAAATTGTGGACGATCAAATTGCCAGCAAGCATTACGACAATGCACACCATTGACTACAAACCCCGAGCATTCAAGGCTGTCCTGATCGGCCTCAACAACTGTGAAGTACATATATACAAGGAGAAGTATCTGGTAGACGTCATCAAGGCCTCCGATGTTGTCACAGGGCTACACTTTGGACGCTTCGGGAGGGAGGATGGCACTCTGGTCATGTCTACTCGAGGTACAAAGCATATTGGTTGAAGCATTCGTATTGTTGCAGCCCCTGATATCGATATTTATTTTAAAAAGTTAAGCCCCTCATTCCATTATGGAATGGCAATATTTGAAATTCATGCTAATCGCTAGCCTGAGACTACAAAATTGTGCTGAAGACAAGTAAGAATACAGTGATAGTAATCCTTATTGACTACCAGGGGTTAGTAGCATTTGAGGGCTATAATTCTGTACCAGTTCTCAATGCTTAGAGGGGCGGTCGGGTACCCTACTGGTTAAAGCGTTTGCTTTTCACGCCAAAGACCTGGGTTCGATTCCCGACAGGTACAATGTGTGAAGCCCATTTCTGGTGTCCCCCGCCGTGATTTTGCTGGATTATTGCTAAAAGCGGCATAAAACCATACTCACTCACTCAATGCTTAGATTTAGATACAAATTGGAATGGAATATACTGACAGGAAATGTAAACATAGTGAACATTTTTGTCTTGTTCAAGCAGGACCAGCCACAAACTCCAGTGTAACAAGGTTTACATTAGTCTGCTGGACGAGTCGTAAGAAAATCGATTTTTCTAAGGCTGGGATGGCCATTGCAGAATTTTGCTGTAAACTGAATTTTATGGGTACACCATGGGAATTCTGGGCTAGAACTGGCCCCCAGCAACCTATGCTGGATTGAACAGGCCACTAAATGTAGCAGGTGAATGGTCGTGGTCATTGGTTGATTACGTGTCTTCATGAGGAAGAGTCTCATAATATCAACCACTGGTTTGTCGGGTTTAGACGTAAATATGTAACTTTGAGGAGTGTCAAATATGGACTATAATGTGAGCTACATGACAACACCTAATTGTAAGGATACAGCCTTACAAGAAGTATCAAGAAGTACTAGAGTTTCTTACTGTACCAGGACTGTTCTGCACGGGCCGGAAATGCCATCAATGAGAGGACATGATCATCACAGTACTCTGAGGCGCTGCAATCTGCTGTTCAAAATTACCTCCCTTAGTTTTTTGGACACCATGAACTATTTTATGGATTTCTGCAATTAAGCTGTGATGTCACCATGTATTAGTTCAGTAATTTGTCAGAGGAGGAACAAGAAGTAACACTGAGTTGTTGTGTCAAACAATAAACCAGTTATGTTTCAAATGTTTTTCGTGTTGTCACATTCAGCCAACTCCTAAATGCCAGTCAAAGACTTTGTTGCCCAATTTGGATGCTTTGTGTGTCAGCACCATACCCGTGCTCGTGGGTTTCTCCTAAGTGGTAAACATCTAAGACCTGCATCACTTTGGGCTTTCCTCCCACATCAATTTGACATGTTGTGAAACCTGATCAAAGCGACAGTAGGCAAACATCTTCCCACATGATGTAGGGCGAACATGATATACTACTACTACTAATACTACTACTACTACTACTAATAATAAGTCAGTTTATCATGCACCATATTCCACAAATAGTAAATGCTCATGCACTACATATTATTACTCCGGTTTTCATTCTCATTCTGGGAGTTTACAACACAAGCTGCATGTGCGGCACTAGAAGGTTGACACTCACAGTACCATCTCATCCTCTCATCCTACCGGGTACCCATTCACTGCTGGATGAACAGAGGCACATTTCGAACAGTCACTTACCTGAAGTGACACCACATGTGCTTTTCATGTACTTCAATGTGGGTAGGACCGAAGTCCTAGAAACTCTCAAAAGTCAAGCTCCCGAACACGGGCACCCATCCATCTACTCCACTTATCACCACCTGATTTATGACCTGTGAGGTGTGCACATTACCATGTGCCACAACAATATTATACTGTAAAGATATCTGACATAGATTTGATCAACAGCAGAAATTACTGATAGTCATTCCGATTTTTTTTTCTGACAGGTGGTGGACTGTTTGTGAAGATTTTGAAGCGGACTGCATCATTTCAAGAGAAGGATCTTTCAGCAGGGCCGCCCGTGGCCCAAAATGTGAAGCTGAATGTTCCCAAGAAGACCAAACTGTTTGTAGACCAGACCATGAGGGAGAGAGAGAATGCTGTCAGTAAGTACCTCAACTGTAGTCGTTGACAAATAGTAGAACAAAATCTTTCTCTGGTTTTCTTCTTTGGGTTTTCCTCTTACATGTGGGAGAACTGAAATGTTATCTAATGCAGCATTAAACCCAACTTACTCTCTCCCTTCTGTAAATATCTGAAATTGTTTCCAATGATTAAGCTCTGTTGGTGTTCACGGACCCATTCCACAAAACGATCGTAGCGCTAAGACAGTTGTATCTCCCATACCTTCACATGGACTTTCGACAGTCGTAGCACTACGATCATGGATAGTGGAACAGAGTCCTGCTATACTATGTTGTTAACTGGGATGCACTGAAAATCATGAGTCTGACCACAGGTATGACCTAAGGCTACACTGCAGCCATTTGACAATCAGGACATCAATGTGCCCATGTGATTGTGGGAAGCTACCACTATGCTACCCCTCCAACCCAGCTAGTGGTGGGGAGGTAACCTCATTAAAATCATATATCTCTAATACCTCTCTGAAGATATTTCAGACCACAGCTGTTGAACCTTCTAACCAGCTGATCAACGTTTAGGCTTCTGAATTCAAGTTATGAGGAGCAAAGATTTGATTTTAATGAGATTGAATCGAGGGATATTTGAAAATAATTATGTCACTTGAAGTGAAACTGTATATTGACATGATTGAAACTAATCATGTTTCAAACAGGCATGAACATTTGTTGAATTGTAACTGACGTCTTGAAGTCTTGACATAGTGCCTATCTTGCTAAGGGACTTGAAGTTTATTAAATTTTTGCTGGGAATGACACAGGTACAATCACGTCTTGTCGTTCATTATATTACCATTTATGATTTCATTATGTGGAGTGTTATCATTTAAATCCTTATATAAATCCCTATAGACATCAATATTGCATTAGAGCTCACAGATTCAGTATGACGACCTGAGATCAGGCAGTATGATTGTCATGGCATGGTTTGATGGTGCATTGTTACAAAGGGAGGCTGAAAAGTGCCGAGGCTCACGAGTAAGGGGGGCGGTGGGGTAGTCCAGTGGTTAAAGCGTTCGCTCGTCACGCCGAAAACCCGGTTTCGATTCCCCACATGGGTACAATGTGTGAAGCCCATATTGCTAAAAGCGGTGTAAAACCATACTCACTCACTCACTCACTCACTAGTAAGGATGTGAAGTACACCAGCGTTAGAAATTGGCGCTAGTCCTGTAGTCCTTGCCAAGCTGCCCAATAGTTGAGGTATCCTAAGGACTAGTAGAAATTTGCCCTTTTTAAGGGTTTTGCTATATGTTATCGTTGTAAGGACTAGTGGGCTAAAACTCAGTTTCTACCACTGTATACCTGACCATTTTACATGTGTTAAAGCACCATCCTGACTATAAATAGCCCACAAAGTGGTGTTTCAGTTTGGAACAGTGACTGACAATGTAAACACCACCGTGTGTCGGGAGAAGCTTTTTGAAAACCATATGCAAACAAGATCACCATTGACGGTCAAACTTTGTATCAACTTGAATGACAAACCCTGGGTACCACAAATGGCTCCATATCTAGATATAAGTCAATAATGTTTCTGTAGTTTTATCATAAAAAATCGGAACGATTGTGTTTGGCGTCTGCATCAATCACAGTGAGCAGTGCTTATTTATGGTTGCGCTATAAATAGCAAAACACGTGGTCATGTGTACATGTGACATATTCAATGCATTTGTTCAATGCATTTGTGGTCAAAGTGTATATATTTTTACTGCAGAACAGCAGTAGAACAACATTTTCGGTTAATGTAACAGTAACGATACATAAATACGAAATTGACAACAAGATTCTTTCAGTTCAGTCCGAAAATGATAGATATTTGATTAGTTTTGGTCATTTGCATTCAACAGTTAGATCTATACCACGAAATAATCAGATTATATGTATGAAACTAATGAATAAGTAACGAAATATACTGGATGTTTTGTACTTACGAATAACGAAAACTCCAAGGCACATATTCAAAGACAATTTTAATTACGGATTCCCTTTTCTTTTACAGAGTTTTCACACACAAAACTGAGTTTGATCATTAGATCCACACTTGTCACAAGTGTATTTTGACACGTTGTGCACAAGTTTTAAAATACAACCTGGGATCCCTTTCCCGTTTTGTCCACACCAATCCTTCATCTGCTGTAACGTTAAATATCCGTTTCTTCGAGTCCGAATATCTACGATCTCTCCAAACACTTCATCTATTTAGCTCAGTCCAGAAGTATAGGCAGCACAGTTTTTGAATCGACAAATTTCTGCAACATAGTGGTCGGACCATTCCTCATAACATTGTTGAAATCAACTGACCAGAAAGATTGTCGAGGTGTTGACAGATGCTGGTCATGGATGGAGAAAAAATGCACCTGAGAGAAACATTGTTGCTTTGATCTTTGAGACCAAACATGTGTAAAATTCATGCCGAAGTAGTTTACAAGAGGATGATCTGTGTAGCCAGCAACCTGAATAAGCTTGATGAAAATAAGGTTGAAATCCATGTTCATGCACATGACAAAGTTAATGTGAACAAATATTTATCTGAACATCGTTTCAAAGTACGTGAAATAATATAAAGTTCGTATCTCAATTTTTCCTGCCGCTGTGGAAACGACAAAAAACTACTTTCATCACTTAAAAATATTTTTGACTATTACTCGGGTTTTTTGTTGTCATCGTTGTCATCGAGATTCCAGATGAAGGCAAGACGAACACAACGAAAAAAAACACTGTTGAAGTTACCGATTGCCGTATATACTGTGAAAAATGAGCCTGACCACCCGATCCCGTAAGTCGCCTCTTACGACAAGCATAGTCGCCTTTTACGGCAAGCATGTTTTGCTGAGGACCTATTCTACCCCAGATCTTCACGGGTCCTGCTTGATCTTGACCATCAATGTCATGCATTCATGTCAGAACGAATTCCCAGGGATATGTAGGTGGCATCTCAGGTATGAAGTCTCTAACATCTATCTTAAGCACATCAAAATTCATGTGTATGCAAGTGAAAATGGTAAAATGTAATGAGTTTCTTTTGATTCAACAGTGCTGCTGAGGTTAACATGTGGTGCTCAATTGTTATTTTTCTGGACATTCTTTGGAATCAAAATGAGTGAATATAGTCAAAACTTGTTAATCCGACACAATCCTGTTAATATCCCGTTAATCTTGCATTGGACAACCAAACAATCATGATTATCCATCCATTTTCTTGAAAACCACTCAAAACAGAGTTATCTCCCATGTTTGTCCAGAGCCATTTATTCAACTTTCTCATTTTCTGACCTGACATGACTGTTGAGTAACTGAGTGCTACAGCAATATTAGTCTTGTAAATCCAACGCAAATATGACTACTTGAAGATGATGAACACACACACCCAATTTGTCATCAGGCACCAAGGTTATGATGATGGTGAGTCTGGCAGTGATTAACTCCAAATGACTACTACGAATACTTTGCCTGCTTGCGCCACTCAGAATGAACTTGGCGTAAAAATGTCTTGTGTACACAATAATTTGAGTTTTATGAATGTAATTTGATGAAACTTAGTATACATGATCTCAAAGGCAGGGTGTTGATCGCATAAACTTTTGCATGACCTGTATCAGGTCAAGGTCACTAGTGGTCAAATTATGAAACATTGTTCAAATTTCACAAACATTTTGGATTAATTCATGAAAAATCTGAGCATTTTCCAATCACTTAGGAAAGACTCTTATTAATTAACCCAATACCTGCAGGGTTAGAAGTTAACACTAGCCCATTAGTCCGGGCAAATACAAATTTCCCAATTTCCCCATTGCTTTAACGTTATAAGGGCATTTTATCTTTACCTGGGCTGGTCAAGTTTTTTGTTTAGTTCTAACCTGGCACTAGCTCTGTATTGTAATCCATGCAAATACCTTTCTAGTTTATGTTGCATTGTTTGCATTGTTTGCATTGCTGCAAGTATAGTAAAGCATCACTTGCAAACTCACTTAATGAAAAACATTTTGATGTCTAATGATGTTTATTTGATCAAAATTCTGTAATCAGTGACAGACCTTATTTGATAATGATAAGGATTCCAAGTCATTATGTTCTGTGGTTCTTTAAAAGTTCAGGAATCCATTAATAAATCCTCTCTATGTTCTTAAATCAACTTAATTGGTCTGTTATTGATTTCTCTTTGGTGCTCTTAGATGACTTGATACTACTATCTGATTACCTATATGAAATAATTCTATAGAGGAGTATGCATTAATTTGCATCGACAGGATCGTTTGTGCTGGAAAGATGAAAGAAATGCAAAGAGGTTATGTTAAGTTGGAGAAATAAAAACAAGTGGTTCTCTCACACACACACTTAGGACATCTTCAGTAGGTGGGCTGTTGGATGGAAGAAGTTTGCACAGCATAGTTAGGTCATCATATCTTGACATGGTGTCAGACAGGGTAACAGGAGAGTCACGGAGGGTGTCAGACAGGGTAACAGGAGAGTCACGGAGGGTGTCAGACAGGGTAACAGGAGAGTCACGGAGGGTGTCAGACAGGGTAACAGGAGAGTCACGGAGGGTGTCAGACAGGGTAACAGGAGTGCCACGGAGGGTGTCAGACACGGTAACAGGAGAGTCAGGGAGGGTGTCAGACAGGGTAACAGGAGAGTCAGGGAAGGCATCAGACAGGGTAACAGGAGAGTCAGGGAGGGTGTCAGACAGGGTAACAGGAGAGTCAGGGAAGGCATCAGACAGGGTAACAGGAGAGTCAGGGAGGGTGTCAGACAGGGTAACAGGAGAGTCAGGGAGGGTGTCAGACAGGGTAACAGGAGAGTCAGGGAGGGTGTCAGACAGGGTAACAGGAGAGTCAGGGAGGGTGTCAGACAGGGTGTCAGACAGGGTAACAGGAGAGTCAGGGAGGGTGTCAGACAGGGTAACAGGAGAGTCAGGGAGGGTGTCAGACAGGGTAACACGAGAGTCAGGGAGGGTGTCAGAC